TTTCCCAAGAATAATAATATTCAGATATTCTCCAATGGTTGGTTACCTGCTCTTGTAATACTACTTGAAACAAATTAAAAACCCAGACAGATTTGTGGAAACTCCAATAACTATCCCCAGGATTAATTCAGTGTATGATTCTTTTTCTTTCCGTTTACTCTTTATCAGAAGGTTTAAAAAGAAGACCAAGTGCAAAATGATATAGGCTGCATTATTTTATGAAACAAAATATAAAAAAGAGAGCAGTACTGTAAATTAAAAACATTTCAGTGTAATTTCTCATAGATAGGAGAATATTGATCCCCCTCTTTTTTTTTTGCTATCTAAGCTAAGGAAAATTGATTCATTGGGAAATTGCTATGTGATGAGTGATACAATTATTTGCAATGGAGTAAGATTTTTTTTACTGATGCCTAGTAACCAGAGAACTTAGCTAAGGGCTGTTCTTCTGGCTGATTGTGTTGTGTTTTAACAATGTGCCCAATTCTTAACTACCAAAAATAGATGATTTGCCAGCTGTGCCACTTACCAAAGAAGCCTGCAAGCAAGAATAGGCACATTTTTCCTTTAATTGTCAACCTAGGCAATTGTGAAATTTGGACTCAGTCTATTATTGCATCCTCCTCTTCAATACTCAAATATCAAAAATCCATTATTCTTGAACAAAATCGACTGATTACTATGGGAACACATTACACCATTGTTCAGCCCTCACCCGTCAGATATTTTATATTTGAGAATTCTCTTCCCTTTGTACAAAGATTGGTTTTAATTTTGCTTTGTTTGGTTTCATTGATAATTTATCCATACCAAAGTTAGCTGCAGATAATCCAGTTTTACTGAATTGTTGGTGTCATCATATAAACAATCCAAACACTCATCGCTCTTAAATGACTATGACTCTCATAAAATACTTTTTTGAATATTTTAGATATAAGATTCTTTATTTTAAAGAACATTATCAGAATGATAGATTTGGAAAAAAAATGTTTTCTCCCTAGATTTACACTAAGTGGGAAGCATATTGTATTTTTTTTAGCCATAGAGTGGAAAATCTCATCGTAAGATTTATGTCAAATGATAGTCCATTTCCTGCTCATGTCAGCCTTACCACTACCATCACTAAAGATGCTAGGTTTCTCTCTACAATGATTTCCATAAGAAGACATAAAATGGCCTAATCTTGGAGTCATGACATTATGAAGGGTTCCCCCCCCCTTTTAGTCTGTTATATTCCAGTTTCATTCCATGTCTATGTTATCTTATGTTTTATAGTATTTTACTGCATTTTATTCAAATTTTCCTTTCTCTAGTTTTGGCATTATGACTATTGTATTTGGCCTCTTATTGTGCTGGTTATTGACAATAATTAAAGAAATCAAAGGGATGACAAATTATTTAATTATGAATGCTTATTCATTTCAGTTTATATTGATTATCTCCCATATATGTTGTTTTCAGCTCTTTTCCATACATCATTCATTCACTAGGAAGATATTAACTTTCACTTCCAAAGAGATTATTCTTATTATTTCAATTTTTAAAAAGAAAAGGAATTTATAAACAAATGAACTAAATGTAATGTTATTTTTATTAAAATTAATTTTTAGCAAACTGTTTTGACAGGGGGAAGGTGGGTGGAATGAAACAGTGGGATTTAAAAACAAATGGTATTAAAATTAAATTTACATTTTCAAATGTTTCTCAATAAGTTTGAAATTTCTTTGACTGATTCCTAGTTTAAACCATGTTTTTCTAAAAAGCACTGGTTGTTTTTGATGAAATAATAAATTCCTTTCTCTTTCATCTCTTTAAAACAAAGTTCATTATAATGGTTCAGACCATTATAAGATGATTCATTTTTAAAGAAGATTTCCAAAATGTAATGCTGATATATAAAAATACCAGAGTGAGGCTCCTAATCTCAGTGGATTCTGGTTAACTGGGATAACTGGTTAAAGAAATCTAAAATGAAAGAAACTTGAAGAAACATTGTGCAGAAACTAGAAAAAATATTAATTTTAGTAGGACATAGTTCACAGTTTTGAAGCATTTTCTTAATAGTTTTTTTCTTAAGCGAAGCTAGAGTAATGTAAGAAAATTCAAGTATTCTTAAATAATAAGCAAATATATAGATTGCAGGGTATTTTTTACTAAAATTTGCTTAATAAAATTTGATAGCACAAACACTATATGTGCCAAGCTTTTCATTTGGAACACTAGTCCCGCTGAAGAATAAGTATGACATTTAGCCAAATCTTGCATAGAGTGGTCAAAATGTATTGCACCACAGACCAAAATACAATCTAAATAGTTTTGTTGTAAATACATTTTTGCAATAAAGCTTTTGAGAGGATATTTTTCCTCTGAAGGGATGTACTTAAATTGACATCATCTGAAAAGTGGAAAAGAAAAAAAATATTTTTAGAGAGATAGAAAATTAAATATGGACAGTGGCATTAAGCCAGAAGCCACTCTATTTAATTTTTTGTAGTCCTTTGTCATGTACAAAAAGGCATGCCAGTAAAATAAAATGATATATTACAGTATTTATATTATTGTCTTAAAAAGTTCAGTCACACTTTTCAGCTCTTGTTGTTGTTGTGCTGTTTACAATGTTGCCTGTACAAGTGCATGTAATTTTATCATACATATTTTATGAGTAGTTGGAATAAAACCTAACAAGAAAGAAATGTTTTGCTCCTTGTGGTATCTGGAACAGCAGAATTATTCCACTGATGTCGTGGTAGCTTGATTATGCATTTTAAAAAGCTCAACTTGGCACAGATCTCTTTCAAATGACTTACTTTCTGGTTAACCTTGTAATTGGTATCTAAGTTGCAAAATTCTAAATGTCAAGCGTCTGCTTCTAAACTAAAAGGCATTGCTAACTTTCTTAGGTTTCTTTTGATCTTGGAATATTTTAAATCTTTTTTTAAAAAATATTTTTTGCCCTTTTATAGATAAAATGGTTTTGGTCCACATTCAAACAGCCTCTTTCATTATGTTGCAGAAATTCAACATATTTCTTTACAGCCTTCTGCAAAGTTTATTTTTTAAAGCTGTATGGTTGAACAATCTTGACTGTAGTGCAATGCCGACATTGACCCAAGAACGATTCCATAAATCTGTGCCCTTAGAAGATGAATTATTATGAGGATCGATTTATTAAAAGGGGTCATAATGGACACTTTAAAAAAATGAAACATGCCAAAGTAGTTCTTAGAAACATAAATGTTAGTTCCCCTCCCTTTAGAATGGTCATCAATTTAGAGTTAAGACTGGTTGAGAGGTAGCTCTTCATCCCTCCCTGAATATGCAGGACCATTAGAATTACCATCATACAACAATATGGGGTGAAATGTGGAACTGGTGAAGGCACATGTCAAATATGACACTTTTCCTCTCAGTGCTGCATCCATGTCACACTGCTACTTTGCTCACCAAGAGTAGGATGTTGCATTCACAGATATTTAAACTATTTTCCTAATCATTAAAAAAGTTTTTGGTTTGCTTTCCTTAGGGGGAAAATGCAGCTCAAAGAATTGGATAAAACCATGTAGCTGCAGAAAATTGTCAATGAAAAAACAAACCCACTTGTGCCGTGTACATTTCTCGCATCAACAGCACTCCAAAAGAGTGCAATATTTTGCCAGTAAATATGGCACACAATGCTGTAAACTCCTCTATCATAAGCCTGCCTGCAATTAAGATTGCTTTATATAACTGCTAAAAATGTGTCTTGGAAAGACAGTATGTTGTTTTCTACAGTGCTTATTTCCAACAGAAAAAAAAGTGCATATGGCAGAATGGATACTTAACTCTATCGCAGGATACAGAACTACTTGGTGAGTTTTCTTGAAGCCCTAATGTTCCAGATATTGAGATTGTACTACAACCACTTCTTGAACTGGGAGGGTTTTAGAGCAGCGTTTTGGTTCTGATTTGGGGAGTTACTTTTAAAAAGTACAAAAGAAGTTGACTGCATGAAGCTTATTAAAAATACACATAAACTCCTTGATTGGTTTCACTTTTCTCCTCTTGTGGGAGGGTACATGAAAGATTAACACTTGGGAACTAGGCGAAAAGCATAATCATTGCTAAGAGTAACTCTCCAAATACAGTGTGCCATAGTCAGTGGAATGCCTCAAACATATGGCTTAACACACGGCCTGGACAGCATATTGAGTGTCTTGTGGTTTTATGATTCCTCATGCATGATTCCTGATCACAGCATGCCATCATGCAAATCATTTCTATGCATTGAAACGAGCACAATTTTATTTAATTTATTTTTGGAATCAGCCTGAGCGAGTTTGGCAAACTGAAAATACCTGATTACCCCCAACTCTCACAAACCATGGTGGAGCCCATAGAATAAAAAAGTATGCAGATCATAAGTACTAAAGAAATGATGATGATTAAATGATACGGGCTAAATACGTGTCATTTCATTTCAGCTCTTTGTTGTTGCTCTACTTGTTTTTTTCCTTCTTTTTTGTTTTTTGCTGCTTAAACTAAATGTCAGGTATGAAAATCTAGTTTTGCATGAACTAATCAACCCTTTAAGTGATATTTTTCCAGATTTCCTTTCAATAAAATGAAAAAAAAATAAAATCAATTTTTGCTGCTTTGGAAAAAAATATGAATCCTCAAGCAGCAGTTTTTTTCCTTGTTTGTGTGTGTGTTTTATTTTGCTTTTTTGTCCTAAGTTGCATTGACTGATGTGGAACATGCAGTATCCACCTGCCCAGACTGTATAAAATCCTTTTTCTCCTTTGCATTGTTTCCTGTTTTTTTTTTTATATATTGGTCTAGATGGGTCCATTAAACAGGTGGTAGATCACTGCTTTGAGATGCAACATGGTCACACAGTAAGCAGACTATGTTTGGTATAAGATCTTTAAAGTTTCTCCACAGCTGTTTGCTATTGATATATATTTTATCAGGAAGTTTGTAAACAATCTTTTCTGCTCATGGGTTTTCTACAGTTAATATTATTATTATTATAGATCATCTCAGCATTTGGATTCCCTGACGTCTTTTTGCCTTTTTGCTCTTTCGCGTCTCCCTTCTTCGGCCCGCTGTTTTTCTTTTTCAGGCTTAGTTACACTGTCGTACGATGGGAGGGAAGCCGTGGATGGAGTGCCTTCTTTTTTCTCCCTATTTGTCCCTCCATTTTCTATTCTGTTGGAGACATTTTTTCGGCAGATAAATCCCCTCCTTGCTAAACGGACCCTGTAAGCCCTCTGGATCACCAGTGCAGAGACTTCCTCCTGTTTGCGCCGTAATGTGGTTGTGATGGGCTCATAAGACACTTTGGAAGGGTTAGAAGCCACAAATCTTTCTTCCATCTGTTGCCTCAAGATGTCTAGTTCACCACTGTCACCCAATACACGCTTGGTAAAGGCAAAGAGGATGTCCAGGCAATGGATTCTGTCCCCACTGACCATTGGCAAATCCATGGCAATGAGTTCAATGGTGTTGGGCTTAGGAACACGAAGAGGGTGTTCCAAAGCATCTGCAAAGTCTGCCAACTTGCAGTATTCAATGAACTGGGTAGCGTCAGGGTCAAACTTCTCCCAGATCTCATAGAAGGTTTCAAAGTCATCTTCACTCAGTGGATCAGCACTTTCCTCTGTAGCCACACTGAAGTTCTCTAGAATGATGGCAATGTACATATTTACCACAATCAGAAAGGAGATGATGATATAGCTAACAAAGAAAAAGATCCCTACGGAAGGATTCCCACAGTCACCTTTGAAGCCACTCCCAGGATGTTCCTTTTCCAAATCACAGTCTGGAGGACGGTTGAGGATGGGTAAGAGCAACCCATCCCATCCAGCTGAGGTAGTGACTTGGAATAAGCATATCATGCTGTTGCCAAAAGTCTCAAAGTTGAACATGTCGTCAATACCTGCCTCATGCTTGACATAAGCGAAGTTTGACATTCCAAAGATGGAAAAGATGAACATCACTAAAAAGAGCAGGAGGCCAATGTTGAACAAGGCAGGCAAAGACATCATTAAGGCAAAAAGCAAGGTACGGATCCCTTTAGCTCCTTTGATCAAGCGCAGGATTCGACCAATACGGGCCAGGCGGATGACTCTGAAGAGAGTTGGTGACACAAAATATTTCTCTATGATTTCTGCCAAAAACATACCTTTAAAAATATTGAGGGGAGAAAAGAGAGTTACAATCGTGTCAAGTCATCTCACATTCTTTCTTCAGAAGTATGGAAATAATGGGCAAATTTAAAAGACAATTCATAAGACTAAGAAAATCACAGCTTGCTTTAAAAGTGACCATCTCTTGACTATTAGGTCCTTTTAGTAATAACTACAGGTAGTCCTCAACTTACAACCGGTTGCTTGGTGACCATTCAGCCTGAAAAAATGGGACCCAGATCTTAAGTTCTCACAGTCATAAGTCATAGCTACCTGACTGTGCTTCAGGTGCTCAGCAACATGCCTGCAGTTACAGCTGGCACATGACTACATTTTAGGACAGTTTGCCGAAAACTGGTGCTTCCGGTTTTCTTCAAAATCATGCCCAGAGCAAACAATGGGTTTCACACTTATGACTACGGTGTTTCAAGTAGAAAGTAGAAAAGTAGAAATCCTTAAAAATGACCCATGTTAGTTAAACTGTTAAGCGGCACAAAAGAGGAGGAGGCCTGCATCACTTTGGCAACCACTGCTGAAATAGGAGGCCTGCATCACTTTGGCAACCACTGCTGAAATAGGAGGCCTGCATCACTTTGGCAACCACTGCTGAAATAGCCTCTCTGCATGACCGCTTACTTTATTAGACACAGAAAGCAGATACAGAGGGCTGCCAAGGAAAAGCTAGTTCATATAAAAAGTTGTCCTTTGAACTGAGGTGAGATGAGTAACGAGATGAGAATCAATGGAATTTAATATATTCCAGGAATTTCTCCATTGCTCCTCAACTAATTTTAATAGAAAACATTCTATATAAGTATCAATTTTAAGAGGCAATCTCAAATTACGTTGTAAAGTAATATGATCCAAAACAGATTAGTGACTATAAATGTAAAGGTTTCCCCTGTCCAATCATGTCTGACTCCAGGGGGGCGGTGCTTATCTCAGATTTCTTAGCTGAGGGAGCCAGCATTGCCCTAAGACAGGGGTAGGGAACCTTGGCTCTTTTATGACTTGTGGACTTCAATACCCAGAATTCCTGAAGCAGCCATGCTGACTCAGGAATTCTGGGAGTTGAAGTCCACAAGTCATAAAAGAGCCAAGGTTCCCTGCCCCTGCCCTAAGACGTTTCCGTGGTTATATGGCCAGCATGACTTTGTGCATGGAATGCTGTTACTTTCCCACTGAAGTGGTATCTATTTATCTACTTGTATTTTGCATGGTTTCGACCTGCTAGGTGGGCAGGAGCTGGGGTGAGTAACAAGAGCTCACCCCGTCAAGCAGTGCTCGGGCCTTGAACTTTCTGGCTGACAAGCTTTAACCGCTGAAGTATTGCGCCCCCTTAGTGGCTATAAAAGAACTGATTAATGATAGAAAGAACCAAAATTTCAGCTCTTAATAAGTCTCAGTTTCAGTATTACAAGTTCACATTTTCATTTCGATGTTTGCACCTTTACATTAGAATTTTCCATTTCTCCAGGCACTTTGATTACTGTGCTAGATACATGCAGTATCATGAAAATATTTCTATATACTTACCCACAACGGAGAGTATCACAACCACAAAATCAAAAATATTCCATCCAATAGTGAAATAATAGTGACGTAAGGCAAACATTTTCAGCACACACTCGCAAGTGAAAAAGATAACAAAGACAAAATTGATCCAGTAGAGGATCTCCTCCATCTCTTTGCTCTGTGTGTCGGTTTCAACCATCATAGTCACCATGTTGAGACAGATGAGCAGCATTATTAGTATATCAAAGGCTTGCTGGGTGACAAAGTCGAAGACAGCGCCTTGGATTTTGTTCTATTATACACAGAAAACATGCATATGAATATTGTGAAATAACCAGTGTACCTTTGGTACTATCCAATTAAAGAAGATTTTAATAAGACAGTAATAGAGATTTTTTTCTTCCATTTTGAAGGGACGCTTAAAGGCAGATTGAAAAAATGTTCAGTTAGCATGGTATTTAATGAAGCTTCGCTGCATGTAAGTACATATAAGATTATAGTATGATTAGCTTCATCTGGCATTAATTTTTTTTCCTCAGGCATAAATTTTACTAGAACTCTGGAAGATAGTATAGTAGTCCCAGGAGTAGGAGGATGAAATGGAGGCTAAAGATTTGTGGCTTTCTCAAGGCTCTCTAATATGGACATTTGAATCAGAAATCTCCCAACTGATATTTTTACACATTAGCAATTATAATAGTTTTCCTTTTCATTCCTGAATAATCTCAATATACTTGGGGGTGAGGGGAGGGATGAAAGAGTACACTTGAGTATATAATAATAACAATAACAACAATACTACTACTACTACTAGAGTTGGAGGTCTTCTAGTCCATCCCCCTGCTCAGGCAGGAAACCCTAAACCATTTCAGACAAATGGTTGTCTGGTCTCTTCTTAAAAATTTCCAGTGTTGAAGCATTCACAAGTTCTGGAGGCAGGTTGTTCCACTGATTAATTGTTCTAACTGTCAGGAAATTTCCCCTTAGTTCTAGATTGCTTCTCTCTTGGATTTAATTCCATCCATTGCTTCTTGTCCTGCCTTCAGATGCTTTGGAGAATAGCTTCACTCCCTCTTCTTTGTGGCAACCCCTTGAGATATTGGAACACTGCTATCATGTCACCCTTAGTCCTTCTCTTCGTTAAACTAGACATACCCAATTCCAGCAACTGTTCTTTATATATTTCAGCCTCCAGTTCCCTAATCATCTTTGTTGCTCTTCTCTGTACTCTTTCAAGAGTGTCAACATCTTTTTTACATTGTGGTGACCAAAACTATATACCAAAGTGTTCCAAATATGGCCTTACCAAGGCATTGTAAAGTGGTATTAATACTTCACGTGATCTTAATTCTATCCCTCTGTTAATGCAGCCTAGCACTGTGTTGGCTTTTTTGGCAGCTGCAGCACACTGCTGGCTCATATTTAAGTGATTGTCCACTAGGACTCCAAGATCCCTCTCACAGTTGCTACTATTCAGCAAGGTACCACCTATACTATACCTGTGGTTTTTCTTGCCTAAATGTAGAACCTTACTTTTTTCACCATTGAATTTCATTTTGTTAGATAGTGCCCAATGTTCAAGTCTGTCAAGATCCTTCTGTATCTTAAGCCTATCTTCTGGAGCGTTGACTATTCCTGTCAGCTTGGTGTCGTCTGCAAATTTGATGAGTTCCCCCTCTATCCCCTCATCCAAATCATTGATGAAGATGTTGAAGAGCACTGGGCCCAGAACAGAGCCCTGGAGCACCCGGCTGCACACTTCCCTCCATGCAGATGCAGTTCCATATAAGGAATGGCATGCTAGAAAAAAATTGAAAAACTTACCAGAGGCCTGGGAATTGGCTTTTGAGGTTTTTTGGAGCCTAATTTTTTCATGGCATTGTAGTATTTCTTCTGTTCTTCTGTCATAAAGATATCCTGACCTCCAAAGTAAAGGGGAAGAGGGGAAGAAAAGGAAGTTGGTTACAATCCATTCAACCATGCTTGAGGATTATGGTGCATATTCAATGAGCAGGCTTTTTTTATTACTTTGTGTGGCAAAGAAATTGTACCATCTCTGGAAGTAATTGTCTCACAGAGTTGGGTTCTATTTAGTTCTGTTGTGGGAACATTTAAGTCAATGTAGTGTCCACCAGATCTCAGACTACAATGCCCATCAGCCACAGGCTTAACGGCTATGATGCCTGGGAATGTGTAATCCATTGCATCGGCTTAGGAAAGCCTGAATGTAGAGCAAAGGTTCAATTTAGTATTAAAAATTGTAATGCTTTGTTTGAAATGGAAAGACATGAGAAACTTGTTAAAGAGGTAGTTATTTATCTGAAATACAGCTGTTCTGCTTTTACTAGTTAACTTTCTTTGGGTCATAGTTGAAGAGGATACTAAGCTTTTCCTTAATATTTGCTCCATACAGGTAGTCCTCAACTTACAACTACAGTTGAGCCCCAAATTTCCATTGATAAGCAAGGCAGTTGTTAAGTGAGTCATGTCCCATTTTATGACCTTTTGCCACGGTTCTTAAACAAATCACTGCAGTTAAGTAAATCATGTAGTCAGTAAGCGAATCTGACTTTCCCCCATTGACTTTGCTAGCCAGGAGCTCCCTAGAAAGATTGCAGATGGCAATCCCAGGAACCTGGGATGCTGCAACCCTCATAAATACATGCCATTTGCCGAATTTTGATCACGTGATGGTGGGGATGCTGCAATGGTCATAAGTGTGAGAAGCATCGTAAATCATCTTTTTCAGAGCAAACAGTCGCTAAATGAAAGGTTGTAAGTCGAGGACCACCTGTAATGTTTCTTTCACTCACTTAATCTCATTTTATGATAACTACAGTTGCAATAGCTGACTTGCAATAGCTCGGCTTTTAATTATTTACATTTTGGATCAACAGCAGCAAGTTTTGGGAGAGGCCAAAGTTTATTAGTTGATAATTAAACAGGCATTCTAGGGTGTATCTTTCTCTCTTCTCTTCCTTCCACTTGTGTGCTAGAAAATATGAAAAGTTGACCTATCTTTTTCTTTTGCTGATTGAAGTTGTCAATAATAACACCAATGAAGAGATTCAAAGTGAAGAAGGATCCAAAGATGATGAAGATGACGAAGTAGATATACATGTAGATGTTGTCCTCATACCTGGGCTGCTCTTCTTGCTATAAGCAGAGAAAAAATAATTATACATTGGAGAGGGAAGGAGAGCGCGAGCAAGAGAGTGAAAGAGAGAAACCCCAATATATTTAATTGATTAATCTAACAAATCACAGTGTATTCTATTTTAAATAATGCAACATTGTGCAGAAAAATAATAAAATACTGGTCAAAAGGTATAAGCAAAGGTAAAAGAAAAAGGAAATCTAGCTAAATCTTATTTATACCAACAGCATCTATTATACTACTGCAAACCTTCCTACTGTTGCAAGCCACCCTCATTGGTACTATATCCTTGCCTCACTTTATACACTGACTTTTTTATTCTTTAAACATTACTTTTGAGGAACTCCTTATATCCACCCACCTACAAATTTTCTCATCCCCTTATCTTTGCCCTTTAATATTTTTTCCCTCTGTTTGTTCTGAGTTTTGATCTTTATTCATTCTCTCTATATAATCCATGTAGCTCTCATGTATTTATTTTGTACTATTCACTTTTGTACTGCATTTAGATTCCTTTGACATTTAATCTTGATTATATCTTGTGTTATGTCATACATATTTTTTGCACAACCATTCTCATTGCATTCAAATTATTTTTAAATTTTTCCTATTTTATCTCAAACTCACATGCATCTAATAAACAGGGCAGTTTAAATATTTTGCTTCTGGTTAAATTTACACATTTAATAAAGAATGAAATGATTAAATGATGTCCCCTTCTGGGAAATCATTGTAATTTATGCATTATGCAAAAGCTAATGATTAGAAAAGTTGCCATTTGATTCAGAGGCTCATAGGGATCCATTAAGTACATAAATCCCTTTTAATTTCACTCTGAAATTAATTCTGGGGCCATTGCTGAATATTCTGTGGACAAAAGAGATCAGGACCTGTACACAGAAGGTGCAACTAGCATCTGACAATTGGATTTTTTTTAAATTTTCCCTTGAGATGATGATTAGCATTCTTTCTTATATAAAATAATAAAGTCACTCTTGCTTCTAAATCCCAGCAAGTAGTAGCAGCTGACGTGCCTTGTTTGGGCTCAGAAGCTGAATCAAACCTGGTTAGCACATGGCTGAGAAAATTATCAGAGAAATCAGAGCTATGGATTTGACCAAGAAGCTGGGAAACATCCTAGAGTCTAGACCAGTGATGGCAAACCTTTTAGAGACCGAGTGCCCAAACTGCAACCCAAAACCCACTTATGCATCGTCAGGTGCCGGGTGGGTGTGGCTCATTGGGTGGGTGTGGCCAATTGGGTGGGTGTGGCCCATTGGAAGGGTGTGGTTGTGGTGGTAATGGCAGACTGGGTGGGACTAAAAAGTTCAATCAATCAATTCCAACTTTGCAAGATCTTTTTTTTTTCCACGAGAAGTTGAAATTGACTGATTGATTGAACCTTTTTTTTCTTTTTTGCACACGGCAGCGGAGGCCTAAAGTGAAAAGGTTTTATAAAACCCAGCTGAAGGCCTAGGACTGGGGCAACAGTGCGTGTGCCCACAGAGAGGGCTCCAAGTGCCGCCACCACTGGTCTAGACTAGGGCAATAGCAAATCACTTCTGTATTGTTGCCAAGCAAAGTAAATGGTTCTTTCTGTGCAAAGATCAAAGATTGATCTTAATTTGAGGGTGTCTACTCTTTGTTTTAAAAGCAGTGCTAGGATCATAGCAATATTACCTTTCTAGAATCTACTGCTGCATACATTATATCCATCCAGCCTTTGAAGGTAGCCTATGGAAAAAAAACACGCTTCTTTTAAAGAGGAGGAAAAAAACAAAGCAAGGTAACCGTAGCACGGAGCAACATGAATAACCAACATTTATTTTTTTGCTTACTTACAAACAAGATCTGAAATACTGTATTCGCTTTTAATTAGGCCTAGGAATTTTCATTTGTTAACATTTTTATCTCATTCTAAATACCCAAGAGATATATATCTACCTTTCCACTTTGTGATTTAATATCAGATGCCTGAGTTTCATCCCCCCAACTTTTTTCCTTCTTGTCACATCTTTTAGATTATAAACCCAGAACATGAAATATTATAGTTTCCAACTTTTGTAAGCTGCTTGAAAGGGTTTTAAAGCAAAGTCCAATTACTTTGCATACATAATAGAATGCATAATATTATATATACACCATTAGCATACTAGCGTCTGCAAATATCGGTCCTTATGTAGTCAAAATGATACAATCCCTCCATAAGAAGGAGATGTCAGCTGCCTTGAGCAAACCTGAGGTTTTGCAGAAGTAAAGAAACCAATAAACAATCTTTTCCTCAGCCACTCTAAAAACATTTATTTTTATTTAGGGAATAGTTTAAAACATTTACATTGTGCGTATTGATTTCGTTAAAGGGATGGCTGTGCTGATTACATGTTATTAACTGCTTTTATTATATTATTTTCAAGAAAAATAACTTTGGTGGAATTTTTCACCCATCCTAAACATACAAGGGGTGTACTGTAAGTGCATTTATTTTGGTAAATGGTACATCCATTTGTTCTCTGGCTTGTATATGGAATGTGCACTAGGATAGTCTGTAAATCCTTAACAAAACATTTGCATGTTGTTATTATGATTTGGGGCAAATTGTGAAATAATTTAATCCTAATATTCCTGTTTAGTTAAAAATATTTCACAAAATAATACATTATAACATCCAATGTAATAAAATGTACCGGTAATTTACAACATAGAAATATAAAACATTACAAATATTTATTGTTTTTAATTTGTTTGTATGTATAATGATGTAGGCTGCCCAGAGTCATTTGTTGAGCTGGGCGGCTACAGAAATCAAATAAATAAAATAACATAAAATAATATCACTTTTTAAATTAAAATAATGAAAAGAATCTTCATCTAGTTTTTTTAAACTTTCAGATTAATGGATGTTTTTAGGATACAATCAGCCTTTTTTTTTTATAGCACCACAATTCCTGAAATCCTCAAATACATTTGCAGGAAAACTTGAAACTATAAAATGATAGACATACCACACCTTTTTGAATCCCCCCCCCCAAAAAAAATCCTCAATGAAGTTGCTCTATAATTCAATAAATCATAAGTGATTTATTCTACTACCCCACCTCTGCTTCTCATGAATATACAAAGTCTAATTGCTTTTGGAAGAACAGATGGACTTATGAAATAAGATCATTTGGATCACAGCCTGTCTTCAAGATGACCACTATTAAACGTCAGTTGGTAAAATCCAAAAACAAAAGTGAAAAGAGACTGTATTGCTTAGAATATATTCAAACTAGAAACACCCCCCCACAAACACATTTTCCAGCAGCAACATGGAATTAAGAATTCTTCAGAATTCTTCAGGAAGCTATATACCACTCCTCTTCTAGCTTCTAGCTTCTGTTCTGTTCTATTTCCATCTTCAGTGCTTAAAAAAAATACACTGCTCTTAAATCCTCACTAATAAAGGGGATGCAAGTGAAACTAATTAAGATTCTTTCCCATGTTTATTATTTCAAAAATGGAAATAACTTCTTGATTGGCCCCTGATAATCGCTGCAAAGCACAATTTTAAAAAAAGCCAAAAATGTTTGGCTGATCCATCCGAATACGGGAAAAGATACATGGGATTACACAAAAGGAAAACATTTTTAAGATCTCAACATTTTGGCAGTTACACACTAGCCGTAAAGGAACAAAAATAAAATAAAATAAAACTTACGATTTGTAGAAGGGCCAGGTACCCTGCACCAACATTGTCAAAATTAATCTTTACATTCTTCCACCGGATATCGGTTTCATTGGGATACATCAGCTTCTCACACTCTGTCTTGTTGTTGACTTCTTCTATTTCAAATTGATACTCAGCCGTCTCATTAAAGCAGTAATGATACTTCCCAGCAAAGAGATTAACCCCCATAATGCTGAAAATCAGCCAGAAGATAAGGCAGACCAACAGCACATTCATAATGGAGGGTATGGCACCCACCAAGGCATTCACAACCACCTGTGTTGGGAGGGAGAGGGAAGAGAGAGAGCTTCAGTACAGAAAATAGGATGGCTTGAGGTTTTTTTTTTACAAGCAAAACGTCCATCTGTCTAGTTTTAGCAAGGGGAACAGAAGCAAGGCTAGTTCCACAATACTCATCTTAATTCAAAAAGAATCATGTGTCTCCAAGCGTTTTGTTTTTCAAAAACCTTTTATTAAATAACTCATCCAAACAAATATTAGGAATTTGTTTTATTTCTTTTGCCATTCAATAGGTGGTTGATTAAAAAAAGAAAAAGAAAAATTAAGATTGTGGATAGGAGGGGGTACCTTGCCTTGATAATATTATGAGTCCAGGGGAGTCTAATATCTAAGTCTTAATCATATTTTTGGAATTCAGACACATGTAAATTAACTTAGCCAACAATCTTTTCCCATTTTAAAACCAGATTCATAAACCTGTGGGCCCTGCTACTCCTACTCCCATGAAGCCACATATTTCAAATGGGAGTAGGAAAGGGTGCCAAACTTGTTCTAAGACTTAGTGATAGCTTAGTATAAAATTAATCAGGACTATATATTCTTTAGTAAGCAAGGCCAGAAGTGTCCTAAGAGCTGAGCATGCATATTTGCAAGCTCAAAAACAAAAGCCATATTCCCTTCTCTGCTTCACAACAAATGAAACTCATGTTTTATAGTTTCTTTCCTTCCTTCCTTCCTTCCTTCCTTCCTTCCTTCCTTCCTTCCTTCCTTCCTTCCTTCCTTCCTTCCTTCCTCTTACAGCCTTTCCCATTGACTTGACGTCAGGAAAGTATTTCTAGTGCAATGTCAAAATGCATGTCAGGAATAGAATAGAATAGAATAGAATAGAATAGAATAGAATAGAATAGAATAGAATAGAGCTGGAAGGGACCTTGGAGGTCTTCTAGTTCAGTCCTCTGCTCAAGCAGGAGATCCTATATCATCTCAGACAAGTGACTGTCCAGTCTCTTCTTAAAAACCTCCAGTAATGGAGTATCCACGATTTCTGAATGCAAACTGTTCCATTAGTTAATTGTCCTCACTGTTGGGAAGTGTCTCCTTAATTCCAGGTTGCTTCTCTCTTTGATCAGTTTCCAACCATTGTTTCTTGTCCTGCCCTCTAGTGCTTTGGAGAATAGTTTGACCCCCTCTTCTTTGTGGCAGCCCCTCAAATACTGGAATACTGCCATCATGTCACCCCTATTTCTTCTTGTTTTTAGACTAGCCAGTAGGAATTAGCTCTCATAGCACTGTAATCTCCCTGACTTCTGTCAGCTCTACCCCCTGGGGTGGAGGCAAATATCACATGAAGTTCCTCCAGTCAAAAACCCTCATCTACTTTCTGCTGATTACTGTATTTTTTTAAGTGTCAACAGATGGCACTATTATTTTACATTAAGTTTCACAATGATGACATAGCATAATTTGTGTTTAGATGCATAATCTGCAAAAGTTAGGCATTATATGAAGCAGAAAAATCATTGCAATCAACAGCCCATTGACTTCTGAATAGAGGCCTATCAAAAATAACAGAAACTATTAAACTCAATGTTATCAGCCTATATTTCAGATACCAACTGAAAACTCAAAGATCTCATTCTTTATTTTTGAGATGAAATAATGAGGGAAATAAAAACCAAGTAAATTTATTGGTCCTATTATTGTAACTTGACACAATGTTTCATTTTTATTTGCTCTTTATTTGTCTTGCATAACAGGACCAAATGTATCTTTTACTTTTCTATTCTTTCACTTATAAAGTAATCATTATGCACATAGTTTAAACAAATTATCAAAACCATTGCATTGCATGAGAAAGGGAACATGGCTTTTGTGTGACAACTATATATTAGAAATAGTAAAGGGCATGCATATTTCATAACAATATTTTAATTCCCTTTCCCCAAATATAAAGAGTGGAAGATATTTTTTAAATATTAAGTTGTTAGGCCATAGAGGAAAAACAAAGAACAATATTTAATGCTATTTAGAAAAAATACTTTGGTTTTTTTTTCATTCTCATGAAGTCAGTTTATACTGATGGCAAAAAGATAAGGCTTGAATTATATATGGATTTAAATAACTTATAACTGGCTTTAAAATTCCTACCAGAAAGAGCCATTCTCTATTAGAAAGATGCTGGGAAACAATTTTTCAAGTTAAGTTAGCTAAAATGCCTGATAATTTATGTTACATTGCTTTCATTAGAAACTCTAGTTTCTTTTGAAAGTAACTATAATAAAAGCAGCTGTCGAGATTTTTTTTTTTTTTTTTTTGTAAAAGTAACATTTGTACAGGTCAGAACAAATGTCAATCCACATTCATATTTGAAGTACATTCCATTGAATTTGGGTCAAGGTCTAACACTATACTGCAGTTCTAAACATATTTACTATTAATCAGAGTAAGCGCACCAAAACCAGTGGGGCTGATTTCAGTATAAACATGAATAAAACTGTCCTGTTAATTTAGTTCTGCTTGGTGTCTAGAACTAATGAACTCAAATCTGAAATGATAACTGAACATGATCATTTTGAAATCCCATTGAAAAGAATGGTTGTTCTACAACCATCATTTTCTTAGAATTGGCCACAATTTATTATACAATTATATACCCAGGGCTCAAAATGTTGCATATTGTTTCTCCATGTGAATAATTGCCCTGTCCCTGCATATTTGTCCTTAATATGTGGAGAAAGTTAAATAAGGATTATCTTTTTACCGTTATATAGCACAGGAAGATATTAATATAAGAGATAACATCCAATCTCCATGTAAAACCAAACTGATGGAACTTTAGCAATGTAATTTAGTAAACATAATTATGTAATGCACCCACTTCAATGTCCTTTTGGAGCAGGTATAATATGCAATTTCAGGATAACATTGGATTTTAATTGAAACTTTCAACTAAACAAAATCTCTGTACAGGTTGAGCAAATGACTAATAATCCCGGATATTTTTTCCCTTTAGGATCTGTTTTGAACACAGATATATTCAGATTTTTGAATGAGGGTTGAAGCTCTTCTCTGCAACCTCTCCTATTTTTCATTCTGTCAATATTGTTCCAATTAAGAGATTGTATTAGAATGCACCACACATACAGCCCAAACCTATGCATTCAGAAGGGCTCATTCCTTAATAAAATATAGGATCACAACTTTCAAACTTGTATGTTTTTTATAGGCCGTGCATTACAAAAAAATTAAATTGGCAATCTCCTTTAAAACATGGATAAGTTTAAACTCTATAAATGGCATATTGTAATAAATCTAGAAAGTTCAGATTCTATGCTTTGCTTGTGATTTGTTGCTAACATCACAGTGACAGGGGAGAGTGGAGTGGGGGCATAAAGCATGTAAACAGGAAACGGAAAAGAGGGAGAAAAGCTATCAGTCAAGGCTGCCAGTCACGAGTGGACTGGACTGAGAACAACGAGGTGCAAATGAGAGGAATTAAACCAGAAATCTTTTCTTGAGGGGATCACTAGATTCCCCTCAATATCCAGCCCTTTTCTGCAATCCTGAATATTTCCCCAAACAAGGCAGGAACAACTTGAAAACCAACCATTGTATTTTGATCTCATTTTTGATCCATCTTTGGTCATAACTTTGGGGGAGGGGGAGAAGAAAAACTTGGGGTGGTTCAAATTCTGATTCTTTGCACCTGGTGATTCTCCCTATCCCAGATTTACAGCCAGAAATGCCCCCTTGAATACTACAGGTATTAAAAGCCAGGCCAAAAAAGAGCAGCCAAGTGCCAACAGAGAATCTACAAATGACATGTAGTTTGGGCCAATAATGAGGCAGCTTAATATATCTCCCTTTTTTCTATTAGTATGTTATTGTTGTTATTATTATTATGGCAATCACCAAATAAAAAAAGGGAGAACTGTGCAGCAGGGTGATGGAGAATCATAAACAGAGGGAAGTGATCACGTCAGCAGCTGCATCATGATTCTGTTTGTTACGTCTTTCTACCAGTTTGATCGGTTCTAGCATGCTTTAAAAAAAAAAACCATAATCCACAGGCATGCAGAAGGATCAGCTCACTAATGGCATCTTACCCTCATCCCCTCAAATCGGGACAACGCTCTTAAAGGCCTCAAGGCTCTGAGTGTCCTAAGGGATTTAATGGCACCTAGTTCCGAGTAGCCCAGGGCATTAGCTATAAGGCTGACTAAAGAGACCTACACAGAAAACAGGAAAAGAAAGGAAAAAGAAAAAGAAAAAAGAAGAGGTTCCAGACTGTTAGCATAAATCCCCTAGCACTGGCAGTATATTCATTCCCCAAATTGGACTGCAGGCCCGAGCCACCCCCGTTTACAGTGACATCGAAGAAGGCATGGCCATCAGCTGCTGCCTTTACTGAAAGGACCTGGAAGGAAATAATGCAGTTGAGAGAGGCATAAATATAAAACAAAAGGGGAAAAATAAGTGAGAGAGAGAAAGAGAGGCACAGATACACACAGACGGAAACAGGGTCTGTTGGAGATTAGGAGCCCAAACGGATGACAAGAACCTTACCCTCGCCCTCTTAACAGTCTGCAGGATCCCAGCAGCTCCCATTAAATTAAGCCAGACAAATTTTTAAAGGACCTATGAAAAAGAATACAGATAAATACACACACTGCACAAAGCTCCTTAATTCTCTCATTTGGGTGGGGATGGGGAAATGGGGATGACCCACCGACATAGCATCACAAAATTAAGAGAAAAACAAATATCTAGCTTTCCGTGTTTCTCTTCTGAAAAAGCAGTTCATCTCTTAAGAGTTTGCAACCTTTGTGTCAGAGCAAAGCCTTTCTGAAGGTTTCATATCACCAGCTTTCTGTTTCCTGGTGTAGGGAATGGGTGGCATGGAATAGCTGTTGCAATCCAAAGAATCTGGAAACCATTTAGTGGAGAAGATTATTGTTTTCTCTTATTCTAAGTAATAACAGGACTGTATTGTACTACTGGTGAGGACTAAGATCCTTTCCTCACATTAGGATGTTAATAAGATATAGTGGATGCATCACATATGAATTCTTTGTCTCAGGCTTCCAAATTCTGGTACCATCTATATGTGCTCAGCTACCAGCCTATTACCCATAGCCAGAATAATAGATAGTTGGGCCCAGATGGAGGATGCTGTACTCTTTATTGAATAAAGGTGCTCTTTCAATAGGCAACTGGAGTGTTTTTCAAAAAGCAACTGGACTCAGGAAAAACAGCACCTTTGAGACAACTATAACCTGGATGACTGAGAATCTCCACAGATATTCTTTATTGCAAAGTGTGCATCATGTTGGAATGTAATATGTTAGCTTCCTGTCAGTGTTCATACATGATAGGACTGATGAGAATTGGGGTTCTACAACATTTGAAGTTGGAGTTCAGGATATGAAGCCCATTCCTGTTCTAATGTCAGAATGCATTCTGGGAGCCAGTTCACAAATTACCATTTGCAGTATCGCTGCTGCTTCCAGGATTGGCTCCCATTTTGCACTGGTAGCTCTGGAATAAAGACAAATGATGTAACCAGGCTCAACATATGTCTGCTTCTGATTTTAGACTATACAGGTAGTCCTTGACTTACAACCAGTGCTTTTTTTCTAAAAAAAAAAAAAAAAAAGGTGCCGGAACTCACACACGTCATACAACCCGCCTTGCCTACCCTACAAGGTTCCATCCCAAAAAGGTGCCAGAACTCCGTTCTGGGCGTTCTATGAGAAAAAAAGCCCTGCTTACAACAGTTCATTTAGTGATCATTCAAAGTTACAACAGCACTGAAAAAAGTGACTTATTGCCATTTTTCACACTTATGAACGTTGCAGCATCCGCATGGTCACGTGATCACAATCCAGTTGCTTGGCAACTGACTCATATTTATGACGGTTGCAGTGTCCCAGGATCATGTGATCCCCTTTTGCAACCTTCTGACAAGCAAAGTCAATGGGGAAGCCAGGTTCACTTAACAACCCTGTCACTTAATTTACATCTGAAGTGATTCATTTAACAAACGTGGCAAGAAAGGGTGTAAAATGGAGCAAAATTCACTTAACAAATGTCTTGCTTTGCAACATAAATTTTGGGCTTAATTGTGGTCATAGGTTGAGGACTACCCTGTATATTCTATCCACTGACCTGCACTGGAGCAACAGAATTACAGGTCTATAACCTTCAGTGTAGAGCCATTCAGTCTGCACTGGATTTGGGAAAATAATAAAAATAACATCTTCCTATCCAAAGTCCTTGGGAGAGACTCAGTATGTGGATCAAAATGCCAAATCCAGTCTAAACATCTGCCTAACTGTAATAATAATAATGTGGTGTCCTGATAGCATTTAAGATTTACAGTAATATAAAGAGGAAGTATGGAGAAACTAGAACAGTGGTGGCGAACCTATGGCACGGGTGCCAGAGGTGGCACTCAGAGCCCTCTCTGTGGACACACGCGCCGTTGCCCCAGTCCTAGGCCTTCAGCTGGTTTTATAAAACCTTTTTGCTTTAGCCCTCTGCTGCCGTGTGCAAAAAACAACAACAACGGTTCAATCAGTCAATTTCAACTTCTTGTGGGGAAAAAAATCTTGCAAAGTTGGAATTGATTGATTGAACTTTTTAGTCCCACCCAGTCTGCCGTTACCACCGCAGCCATGCTCACCCAATGGGCCACGCCCAGCCAACGGGCCACACCCACCCGGCACTCGACGATGCATAAGTGGGTTTTGGGTTGCAGTTTGGGCACTCGGTCTCTAAAAGGTTCGCCATCACTGAACTAGAACTATCTCTCATTCTCTCTTTTGATATATGTTATGGGATGTACTGTAGATATGTACATATGAAGGTACTATATTTATGTCTCCTTAAAACATCTTGTCTATCATTCTGAACCTTCTATAAGTAAAAGTGTTATTAGAGAGTGTTTTAAAATATTAATTTTAGTTAACACTTATGTTAATTAAATGAAATACAGTAGTACTGCCTGGAATGCTCCAAAGAAGAGGGCAATACTTTTAAGCAACTGCCAAAGAACTAAAGTTAAGGACACTGTTTTTTTCAGGGATGACAACCAGATTGGAGAATAATATGCTGAAGTTTTGAAATATAGTAATATATATTTGATCTGGCTGGGAGAAGCAACTGATTGTCTCAAAGGTGCTCTTCAAAAGACAACTGAACTTTCTTGGTTGGTCAACCAAAAAAGTCCAGTTGCCTTTTGAAAAGCACCCTTGGGACAATGATGATCTGGATTATTGAGAATCTCCATAGACAACTGATTGTATCTCATTTGGGGAGATCAGCTCCAGAGACAGTTTGTCCATTGTAGGGTTGGCCTTCTGGAATGGCTTCCACAAGATGTGTTTGGCCCCAATCTTGGTCCCCTTCCAGAAGCATTTCAGTTCAGAGTGCATTGGGAGACTGACACCAAATGTTCCACAGAGTTTAGGTTTTTCTATTTTGACTTCTGGTTTTATGTTATGACATTTTCAATGTTATTGCTATTTTTCTTTTATTCTATGAGCCTCAGAGAGTCTGTGTAGGATAGTGGCAGAGCATAAATGTGAAAAAATAAATAATTATGAGGTGGGCAGCATGGATCTGTCTTCAGATCATTTCATTGTTGTTCATCTTAATTTTCTCCAAGTGGATTTCCAATTGCCGTGTCCAACATGAAAATTGTCCTATGACAATTATTTTGTCATTATTGCCATTGCATGTTTTCAAAATGCCAAATGTTTCCCTGGCCCAATGGGTTATCTATTCTGTGTTGGTTAAAAACATGATAGATGGAGACTTCCAGTTCGTCACACAGCCGCCATGGACGGTTGGGAGACTTGCTCTCTCTCCCCCGTTCAGTTTTGCATCGCTGGGAGGCCCTGAAAAGGGCCGAAAGTTGCCCCGAGGAGGCAACCAGCAAGGAGGGGCTTTCGCTGGATCCCGGGAGAGCAGCAACTGTCCCGTCAGACCAGGCGATTCCTCCAGATGAAAGGACCGGCCATAAAAATATGGTTCGTCCCTAGGCTGCAAACAGCCGAAGTCACACTACCATCTGGCAACTTCAAAGCAGCGTGGACAGGACTGGGTGAGGTTTGCTTCTCTTACATCCTAACTACTTAATTACCTGCATAAGCTGCTAAAGTACTTTCCCCCCCTGTGGTGAGGGAAGGGGGATTCTAGCCCTCCCTCCAGAAACAGCGGCTATCAACCACTTGGGAGTTTAAAATGTTGGAAAAATACTGAGATCTTAATTGGAATCCTATTTCCTAAAATTGTTGGATTATAAGATTTGCAACTTTCTGCTCTCTCTCTCTTCCTTGATTTTTATTCTAATTACTATTGAAGATTTGGGTTTCCCCCCCCCTTAAAATAGAGGGGGGGGAAACCTAAAAAGATCCAACTAACTCTAAGATGTAACCTGCTATTCTCTAAGAGACTTGTTGACAGCTTTGAAAATAGATAAGATACAAAATAACCTTGAAACACCATCTGCAAAATTCAGCTCAGCTCCCGATTTGGTGGACTTTCTGACTGTCAGTTTCTTTTTCTTGAGTTTAATATATTATAATGGAAGGAGAACAGGAAAGGATTTCTTCTACAGAGGAAGTACAGGAACAAATTCTTGGTATGTTAAAAGCGATGATCCAAACTCTACGTATGCAAGCTCTGGATATACAAACTCAAACTATGACTTCAATCAAAGAATTATCTATACAGAATTCTATAGAGAAAGTGAAACAACCAAATGTTATGACAGAAGACTTAGATACTCAACAAATACAGACAATAGAAAACACAAAAAAGAAATTGATAATAGAGAACAAGGAAAGGACGTTTCTTATAAACCAGAAGGAATTTGAAGATAAGAAAAACAGATGAAAGAGAAGATAAATACTTCGGGACAACTGCATCGAATTGGAAAAATAAAGAGACTACTGGCTAAATCAACTATTCCTCTTAAGAAAACATCAACTGGACGTTGTTATCAACATCAAACAATAGCCAAAACAATACAAGGAGATTTTTTTGATGATTTAAAGGCAAAAATACGAAAAATGACCTGGCAGAGGAAAAAAGCTAGAATAAGATGGAAAAAGATTGGGGTTCTGATCTATATATGAGATCTAAAATAGAATATATCTAAATAGATAGAATATGTATTCTGAACACAAGACATTGTAACGATTTGAGATAAAGAAAATTTTGGTCATATAAAATCTAGAAATATGTTGAAATAAGAATATTATATTGTCATTAGATGGGTAAGATAGATGGTAGAATTTATATATAAGGTGTGTATTTTAAATATTATAATTAGAATGTATGTGCAATTGGGATAAAGGAATTGTGTTTAATTAAAAATTTGGAAAAATTAAATATTAAATGTAATCTGAATGTCTACAAATAATCAAGATTTGAATTTAAGATATTGTTATGAGTTGAGACAAAGGTTAAGTAAAACTTAAAAGTATAAATACTAATAATTAAATTTGTATATGGGTTTGTGGTATAAATGTTGGTGGTTTATTTTTAATTTTTTTTTCTCTTTCTGGAAAGGAAGAAAGGAAGGAAGTAGAAGGAAGAAAAGAAAAAAAATTATTAGCTCCAAATATGAGATAGGAGACTTAGAAATTGGGATCATTTAAAACCTGGAAATGATAAAGATTAAACGTTAAACTTAAATATCAATGGGAAATTAAAGTTAAGAAAAACTTACTAAGTTATTGTCTAAAAGATGGCATGTCAAATTAATTAAGATATGTATAAACTGAAGATTATTGATGAATATTAGAAAGATATTTTTTGTTTGATTAATAGAATAAGAACTGTATTGGTTTGAACATGACAGTAGATATCATGGGGGAAAGAGAGGGAAATAAATTAGTTTGTTGTAATAATTTGAGATTTGTACTGATGATATTCAAATGTAACGGAATTACTGTGCTCAGCCGCCACACTACTTTTCAAATATGTAAATGTAATATTGTAAAATCAATAAAAAAACTTGAAACTGAAAAAAAAATAAAAACATGATAGATGGACTCTGTAAGTTGATCAAGGAGCACTAGAATACCTGGACTAAAGGGAAGGTGGATAAAAGAAAGTTTGAGGATCTAGTAATTACCCCCAAAATATGAGCCAGTGAACACAATGAAGCTTACTTCTTAGCAGACATGAATATGATTGTATTTTAAATTTCATTGATTTCAATGAAAGAATAATAGATGTGCCTAATCACTTCCACTGGAATCTGTCAGATGGAACTGACTTTCAGACTTTGAAAACTTGTCTTTTAGCCAATCTTGCATCAATGCTAGGGATTTGGAACAGAACTGTTCTCTTAAGCAAGGAAAATTGATGAAAAAAAATTATTTTCTAGGATAGTCTCTTCTATAGGGTCCTATAAGTGACAATGTTTCCTGTCTCAGCAATTATAGATCTCAGCAGGAAGAAGCTTCTCCTATTTTTTGAAGGAGGCTAACTGGGCAATGCTGTTTTAGAAGAAGCTCTTTCCATCTCAGTTGCTCTCTGAAATTCATTAAAGTGACTGGATGTTTTTCACACATCTCCAACACACTGAAACAAAATGATGTGGATGTTTTATGAGTTGCAGGAACTTGAATAAGTGAGGTAATGCCTTTTTCCCCCCAGGATGATGGCCCTGATTGCATGCTCAAAGCCCCAGTGCTTTGTTTGCGTGTGAGAGACACTGACACATGTGCAAGAGGGTGAGGTTTCAATCATGTGGTCATGATCATATCTCGACTTCTTTGCCTCCTCTACAGAAATCGCTCTGAATATTAGCAGTTATCGGTAAATAACTGTTAATGAAGAACAAGTATTGGGGTGAATGTAGATAGATTGTACTTTGAAAATACTATTCATTCAAAATTAGGGGTAAACATCAACATCTTGTCTAAAAGAACAAACCCATGTATGTTTACTCAACAGAAAGTCCCACTGTGTCCAATGTGCCTGATTCTCTAGCAAAAGTGCTGAGGATCACTATTTTAGAACAATACTGATTGACAGGAATTAGCATGATCTTGCATTGCATTTATGGTTTGCATTTATAGATAAGTAATATAGGAATGAAAAGGAAAATTTTTATAAAAATCTAAATGTTGGAGCTTAAAGGTCCCCTTAGAGAAAAAAAATACACTAGGGGAATGACAGTTAAGGAGATGATTCTTTCTCAACACAAACAAACATTGAACATTAATTTTTTTTTAAAAGATCTAGAATATATTTCTCTGAACCTTGAAATGCAACTCTAGACTAATTAGAAACATATTGATTATTTATACAGGGATAAAATGTTAGTTTTCAGATGAAAAATTCAAATATATATTTGATATTTTGATACAGGACTAACAGTAATCACATTTTTCCAAAGAATGAAACAAAAAGTAAAACAGCACAGGGCAGTACAGTAGTAACAAACTATATTGAAGATGTATGTGGGGAAACAAACACACAAAGATACTTAATGTCTTTCGAAATCTGAAGAGAACAAGAACAGAAAATTGTCCCCAAATCTCAGAAATATCATTGATCACAGTATTTCCCATTAATAATGCAGTGTCAAATCATGCAGTCCTCTAATGCTTTTTTACCTAAGAGTAGGGTGGACTTTTGTTTTAAAAGATTCAGGTCAACTTCATTTTGCTTCTGTTCAAAATTTAAAAACATTTAATGCACTCTTTTGTAAATTCCATTTAAACAGCAGCAATAACAATAATGCTATATACCAAGAAGGCCCAGAAAATAAAGGCGCTATCAAAAATATTACATCACTTTCAGGTCTTCTATTCCACAAAAATAGCATGCTAATAAATAACACAGGCAGTCAGTGGAAAGTCCCATTGCTTCAAGAAAACAAGTACTTTGAGACCCAAAATATATCAAATTAGCATGTAAAAATTAGGTATATAAATGTAAGATACATGCATGAGTGCAAATATGTGTTCGGTTTGCCTTTTGGATCTCAGTCTTTTGAAGAGTAAATTGTGACAAAAAAAGACAACAGTTCTCTAAAGTGCCTTTTGGAATATTATTTATCTAATGTTTATAACTATTCAAAATTTGCCCCCCTCATATCTTGTGCTTTATGACTGGTGAAGATTTTGAAGGAAAGGCCATATTGTTCAAGAGAAGCTGAAAGAAACATGGGGGGAGAAGAACTGAACAGGCAATCACTTAAACCTTCTCTAATGGAATTGAAAGAGACTGCATTTTTCACCAAACATCTTATCTCTTAAGGAGAAGCAAACGTTATACTCTTGCAGTGGTGCAAACCTGTCTTTCACTCTTGACCAAGATTGATCAAGATTAATTTTGAATTTTTCAATTTTCCCAATTCATTTTCTTGTATTTTATTTTATGAGTAAGATAGCCCTATTGCGTTTCTTTGTCTGAGATTTTTAACAGAAGGAGAATTTGTGCACCTTAATAGAGTAATAGAAATAAGTTTGCTTTGTACTTCTATTTCTTTCTATGTGTTTTGTACTATCTCTGTGGCATTTTCTGAAGTTCATTCACCATTCAAATCTCAGTGAAAAAATGGACCTGAAAGTGAAATATGGGAAACGGGAAACCTCCTCAACCAATTAACATTTTGGGTTGTGGCAAACAAGAATGAAAACAACAGAATGTTTTGCCTTAGAAAAAATTTAGAAAGAAACAAGAGTAACGATGCTAGGTCTTATTTATTTAGATAGAGGTATAATCTCAGATTTTCAGGAAAACAGTGCACTGAAAAAAAGCAAAAAGATACCTACTGCTACAATGAGGAAATCCAACCAACACCAGGCATTCGTGAAGAATTTCACAAATCCATAGGCACACCACTTCAACAACATTTCAAGGATAAAGATGTAGGTGAAGACTTTGTCAGCATACTCCAAGACGGTGCGTATTGTCTTTCTCTGTTCTATATAAATATCCTCAAAGGCCTAAGCAACAGAAGAACAGTAATAGTTGTCATATCTTAATCTTGGCATTACTGAGCTACAAAGGTCTTTTGTTTTGATGTAGGTACTTCTGGAGGAAGCTGTAGTAGCTGAACTCAGTTTACACATGTATATTGAACCGTGGCAGTGCAGTGGTTAGAATGCAGTATTGCAGACTAACTCATTGCTCATTGCCAGGAGTTCGATCCTGACAGGCTCAAAGTTGACTCAGCTTTCCACCCTTCTGAGTTTGGTAAAATGACGACCCAGATTGTTGTGGGGGGCAATACGTTGACTCTGTAAACTGCTTAGAGAGGGCTATAAAGCACTATGAAGCAGTATATAAGTCTAAGTGTTATTGCTATTGCTACTTATTTGTGATCTCTCAGCATTTAACTGCAGGTTGTCCTTAACTTACAACTAGTTGCTTAATGACCATTTAAAATCATGATGAGCCTGAATGAGATGCCTTATCACCCATAAAACATTTCTGACCTTGTGTCACCCTTCCCCGTGACTGCACTTTGGGTGCTTGGCAACGAATTGGCCTTTATGACTGGTTGTGGTGTCCTATGGTCACATGACAGCAATTTGTGACATTTTTTGCTGGTTTAAGGCAACCCCCTCCCATTCAGAAAATGACTGTTGCAAAAAAATGTTGTAAAATTGGGTCACTTATGTGGTTGACTTGACTTATGACCATAAATCTGGTCCCAATTGTCACAAGTTGAGGACTACTGTATTAACTCAAAGGCTGCATAAAGAGGCAAAGGGGCTAAGTTTGCATCTTTGCAGTCCAATTACCAACCCCTTTTCCCCTCCTAAAATCAAACATTACCATATTGTTCCGTTTGACCTGTGTGAGCAGCTCTTCTCTTTGTTTTCACACTGCCTAGACTTAAGGAGAGACCAGCACTAGCAGAGGAAAGAACACTGTGTTGTTTTCAGATAGGGATTTAGAGTGTGTAATTCTCACGCTTCGCTGGCTATGCACAAATGGCCATTTACTATTTATTACACTTACACAATGCATCTGAGACAAAATGAAGCACCTCAAACCTTGTTGTGAATATGAAATACTACTGCAAGGGGAGAACAAGCCTATCCTTCACTAAAGGCCCCCTCGACATCAGTGTAAGGTCCTGCTGAAATATCTGAAATATCCTAAAAATCCGTCAAATGTACTAGTACAAATCCTTCTGCAGTAGCTTTAGTAAGGGATGGTGTTTCATTGTGAATATGCCAAGGAGGAATAATTTCCTATCGTACATCTATGGCACCTCTAGCTGCTGCTACCTAATATTTGTACCTGATTCATGAATTTCACATATTGTTCAGTTTGACTAGCAAAATAAAGTGATGCTCACCAAAGCTCCACTGCTGAGCAAGATCATGAAGATAATGAAGGTTTCAAACCAGTTATGTTCCACAATGAGAAAACATGTCTTTCTTAAGTTCCACCAAGACTTGCCCAGTCCTTCTTCTATGCTGACTTGACAGCATTTGAACCGTTGAACACAGCCTGCAAAGGTAGAATTAACTTTGTAATGAATTTTGTTACAGAAAACAACCCCAAGAGTCATATGTTATCCAGCTGTAAGGTATTTTCCCATTATTCATTCATTCCAAAATTCTGTCAATTAAAATGAACATGGAGTACAAATCTTATAGCTAAATCTCATGTCTCTAATGCTATGCCATCAAAAGGAAACAAGTTAGTGATTCAATAAAATAATATGGTAAAATATTGCTATAAACATAAGAGGCATCATGAGTTTCAGATCACTTGGCTAAAAGGCATCCTTGCACCTTCTTCATAATGGCATTTTAGAGATTGGTGAAAATTTACATTAGTATAATTTCAGGTTCCATTCCATTTATTACAAGAGTCTCCAATTTGCAGCCCATGGGCCACATATGGCCCTGGACAGCTAGTAATGTGGCCTCACAAGATCGTAAACTTTTAACATTATTATGTGACTTTATATTATAAAAGTACATGTTTTATATGAGGCCCAAGAAAATTCAGCCCAGGCAAGCATAAGGATTGGATTTATTACATTCACTCTTCCCTCCAAATGGAATTAATCAGGCCTCCAGCCATTGAACAACTGAAGGTAGAAGGAATACATAAGCCAAATTGAAAGGCCAAGAACAGAAATGTAAATTTGATTCTCTGTTGTGGTTTCCGTGTATCACCCATATGAGTGATGCATCTATGCAAAACCCTTGTCCTGTTCATTCAGAGCTGAAGTACATTGTGAGAAACACACTGTCAAATGTGCATGATCTTTATTCCAAAAGGACTCGCAGCTCAGTCATTTTGTGCAGTTCCTCTGCTCCAACAATTACCACAAACTCCAATTTTTGAGGTTTTCTAAGCATGCTACATGACCCCAGCCTTTGACCTTTACTCACCAGAACTGTCATGATACAATATTCAGTCTTGAGCAAATAAATCTTTCAGTCAGGCATTTTGGGAAGCCATTCTTCACCAAGTCTGTCATAGAAGGTGTACCTTCCCCCCACCATGTGATAAACTTGCCACTTAGCTCTATGCTCCATATATAGAAGCCATAGTGAAGAAAAAGTTTCTTGCCCATAACTGTTACCCTTTGAACAGTTTTTTGTACATTTCCACCTTCCCCTTTTTAGTTGTTTGTCTTGGTAAGTTTGTCTTGAAATTCCTATACTGCCTTGAGAAAATTAGAGCAAAAAGCAGAAACTGCACCTAAGAACACGTGCAAAAGAGAATTGTTGTATGAGCTGCCATGCAAATGTCCATCAACAACCCCAAACTGTATTATGATATTATGTTGTGGACTTTGTAGGAAATGAAAAATGATGGATGAATTCTTCCCATTGTCTTGAGGATTTTTACATATACCCCGTATTTAGTATCACCTTCAGTGAAACATGCGTCAGGATCCAAGTATTCTTCTGGTGCTTCCACAGGTACCTCTTCTGCCTCTGGTTTTATATCTATGGTGCTCCCCTCTGATGAGCTTGTATCATCCAGCTTCTGGAATAAAAATGATAGTGAGATTCTTTATAGAAACAAAACAAAACAAGGATGTTCTGGCAACTCGAAATGAAATTCTAAAAGAAGAACTGAGGGAACAAGAATTATTAGCCTTCAGAAAATTGAGAGGAAAAGCCAAGAGAGGGATGGTAAAATAAGCCCTAGCTGAACCTGTATTAAACAAATTAATAAAACATTCATTTTTCTGGAGCAGTATGCCACTTAATATTAACTGCAGCTGATCGACAATATTTTCTTGTCCTACAAAACAACTGGTTTTCAGATTGAAGAAACTGATTCTGACGTGAACAGCATAGGCAGGAAAAGATGCCAACAGGAACTTAATTATCTACGAGTTTCTGCATTTCCCAAATGTATCTTTGATTTGCTTCAGCTGGCCTTTCCTTTTGTTCTTATGAGTGACATATCAATACTGTACAAAACACTTCATTATTTTAAGATGCATTTTTCCAAATTTATGGGCATCTATGCTATAGCTATCAACCCACATATGCTTCACAACAACCTAGTGCTCTGATCAAAACATCACTCTGCTTCATTGTGAAGCTTTGTTCTTTAGTCACAAGTCCTCCTTTGTTACCCCTGTAATACAAATGGCTATCCAAAAACGATGGCATGACAACATGGTTTGAGTGAGCATCGGGTCATACCTCTTTGCTGCCAGCAGGGTCAGTGTCACTGCTGAAATCTTCTGTGTTGAGATTCTCAAAGTCAGACTCACCCACCGCAATGGGAACACGAACAGTGAGGTGAGGGTTGTTGATAAATGACATGTGATCTTCATCAATGATGTACTTCTCTACGCTGCTGCCAATGCCACTGGTGGTGCCGTTCCCATTCTTCTGATAATCAATCTCCCGATTTATATCTGCCCCTGTATGGTTAGCAATGCAGTTCATCTTCTTATCGTACAGCTCATCCAGTGGCTTAACTTCATCTGCCTCTCTCTGCTTGAAGTGCGTCTGCACAAATTCATGCACTTTAATCTTTGTCCAAGCAATGCCCTTCTTGATCCGGATGACAGAGATCTGCAAGTTGTTCATCTCACCATCATCATCACTGGCTGCAAGGTTGTCTGCACTAAAAGAGCTCAGCAACAAGGCCAAGAACAGATTCAGCACCTGAATGAGCAGAAAAGGCAGATCAGGGTGATGCTTCTTAACCAGCAATTGGTGCATTTTCCCTACAAAGGCACTATTTCACCTGGCAGTAGTAGGAGACGTAAGACAGCTTTGCTGGGACCAAATTGCCAGTAGGGTCCTCCAATAACAACAGTCATTCTCTGATAACAACTAAGTAAGAATGAATTTGCTTATTGATTCTTCTCTCCCTTTTTTTTGTAATTCTGTGCCACACATACGTATGGTATGTGTGAACATGTGTATGTGTGTGTATAAGCACTCCTATAGTACAATACATTTTTAATTACATATTCACACACACACACATTATATATATAATATATCTCTCTGTGTGTATTTCATTCATTCATTCACTCACTCACTCATTTATATATCCATTCATTCTTATAATTAGAAAGCAGTAGTAAAAAATACCCCGGTCGGGTTAATAGAAGCTGTCTGGGTGCCACATAAAATCTTATGAATTACAGACAGCAACTGCATCATAAACCCCAACATTTGGAAGTACATATTTTCTCTGTTTTTGCAAGACTGCCATACTGAATTTCCATTTTGGTTACAGGATGAATGTGACTAAATTTTTAATTAATTTGCTCTCCCCACCACCACACTTTTGCATGCACATGTAGAAGATTGTGAAACATTTTGAATTCAAGGGCAAAAAGATGCTTCTGATTGTGCAGGATACAAACATGGCATCTATCTGCAACTCCTTGAAACAACTGACTCTTTCCTAGAATAGGAAAGTCTTCCCTTTGAATCTGAAGCATGGCACAGCTATAATTCATACAAATTGTTTTTTTCTATTTTCAATTCTGGAAGATAATGGTGCTAGTAAAAGCATCTCAAGAAGCCATGCAGAAAGAAAGCAAATTTTGGGATGATTGAAGAGAGGGCGATTATCACAGATATTCAATGCACTTTGCAGAAAGATCTCCAAATGTATTCTATTCAACATTTGAGCTGTTGGGCGATCCAGCTTGTTTCTCCTAATAATACTGAAAAATTAGCATTGGAACAATTCTTAAATGTAACATATTTAATATGGAATTAAGCAGGCTATTTCATTTCCCATTTTAAATGTAGTACATAATCATATCTCCTCAAGTGAAGAGATCTGCCTCATCACAGTTGTGTGTGTGTTCTTAGGAAGGTTGAGTAAGAAACATTGGGTGTGTACTCCAAAAGTATATAATCCAGCAGGATAACCTAAGGCTGAATATCATCGTAGCTGCTAGCTAAAGCAAACAGGACTCTATATTGAATAGCAGTGAGGTAGGAGGATGTGAGGCAGATGATCAGTTTTGTGACAACAGCAAAGACATAAATTCATATTGCATAAAAGAAGGCAATGGTAAACCACTTCTCTATTTTTACCAAGAAAACATATGGATAGACAATATCCCAAAGGTGCACCTTTTTCAAGCACCTTTGGAACAACTATGACCTGGATGGTTGAGAATCTCCATAGATATGGACAGACAATATAAAATTATTGAAAATATAGTGTTGGGGCATAGGCTCTTCAGTTCAGATGGCAGTCAATCTGCTACTGAGGAAAAAATTGAGGATCTTTCAGAGATTAATTATGTTTATAATGGGACCACAGAATGTAAGCTTGAACATGTAAACTCAATATAATGAATGATAAAATCAATAGACTACACATTGAAATGTAGGCATTAGCCAATTGAAGTGGACTAGAATTGGATTCTTTTCAGTCAGAAAATAATATGGTTTATTATTAAGGACACAAAAAATTTAAAAGGAACAGCTTTGATTTCATACCCAGGACGGGTAGTACTTGGCTATGCAGTCAATAGCTGAATAATACCACATAGACTTTGTAGACAACCCATTAATATGATGATTATCCAAGTTCATGCTCCAACTACTTATGCATAAGATGGTTAATGTGTTTTATGATCAAATTTAATCTGAAATCAACAGATCAGGCAAACAAGAGACTGGACTACCAAAGTTGGAAATATTAAGAAAGAAAATATAATTGGATTGTAAGACTTAGGAAACAGAAATGAAGCAGGAGAATGACAACATTCAAACAACCAAAATAATGCTTATGAACATGGTCATCACCAGATATCACATAAACACAAATTTATATTATTGGTACAAGGAGGTGGAAAAGCTCAGCTGTAACAGTAAAAACATGGCTAGGATCTGATTGTGGAACAAGTTATCATGTGCAAGTTCAAAGTCAAGCTACAGTGGGAGAAGAAAGTCAACCAGTATCCACAAAATAATCTTGAACATCTATTCACAATTTTCAAGGAGAATATCACCAATCACATCAGAATCTTGAACCTCATTAATACAGAATAAGGAAAACTATGAATGAAAGGATGACTGTGAACACAGATTGCCAAAGATGAAGTAACAGAAGAAAGGAAACTGGATGTCAGAACAAACAGTGGAAAATATCAAGAAGAGAAGCCAAAGTAAACAAATACAAGATCTCAAAGGAAAAATTTAACACACATAGAAAAATAAGGAAAGTCTTCCAAATGATATCCAAATTTAAAAGGAGGTCCCAACTTTGAGGTAGTATGCTACGGGATGCTAGTGGATAAATAGTCAACTTCCAAGATACCTTACAAGATATTCTCTATTTACAAAAACCTCTAATAATAGATAAAGTTAGACCAGTACGTCAATCATACTGGGTTGATATTGTATCCACAAAAATATGGCAAGCAACAGATGAACAATCAATAAAGATTTTAACCACACTATGCCAGCAAATCTGGAGAATGACATATTGGCCAACAGACTGGAAGAGGTCAGTCTAGATAACCTGTACCCAAGAAAGGAGTCTTAATAGAGTGTGCAAAAATAGGATTAAGATTAAATATAAAGAAGAAAAGAAGTCAAGAGGCACAGCAACCAGCCTTATATTTGATAGTGAAGATACTAAGGTGGTAAATATCTTCTGCTGTTTAAGATCATTTACCACAGTCAAGGAATCAGTCAAGAAATATGCCACATGGGTGGAATAACAAGGAAGGCCTTGAAAAAAGATAGTTAGGTGCTCTGATGTCTTTAGCCACAAAAATCAGAATTGTGCAGGGAATGTTTTTTACTAACATTCTATAGAAAATTTGAAATTAGAAGCAGTGCAGAAATAATTTTAACATTATGGAACTTTACTGTTGGAAAAGACTCCTGATAACAGCATGGATAGCTACGGTAATTAAATACACAAATGAATCATAGAACAAATAAATCCAGAATTCTCTCTGAGGTACAAATGACCAGACTTGAATTATTTTTTGGATACATTACACAAAGACCTAGCTGTCTTGTGAAATCTAAAATGCTGAGAAAGGTGGAAGGGAAAAGAAAAAGAGAACAATCAGCAGCAAGGTAAAAGGACTGGATTACTGGCAATGGATGCAGCATAAGAAGATCTGAAGAACCAGATTGGGGACAGATTGTCCTGCAGAAAATCTATTTATATGGTTGCTAAGAATCAAAACCTACTTGATAGAACATAATCAGTTAATCAGTCAGTCAATCTAAACTTATTAGTTTATTCTCAATGGTACCCATTTCTGTCATTTTAGATATGGCTCATCTTGAAGAGGCTTTTGTAAAAAAATATAAAAAAGGCAAAAACAAATTCAAGAGAAAAGATAAAACAAGTAATTGAAAGATAGCCAGATAAAATGAATTTTTATGTGAAAGTTAGATTTCAAGCACTCAATACTTTATTTGTCATCTTTCCTGAAAAATAGTTCTGGAGAATGTGAAAGTTTGCACATTGTTTGTGAATGGGCCGGCTTAATTAAAATATTTAATATAGGAACAAATTTGTACAACTTGGAGGGGAAGAACAAAACAGGTAGAATAGTAAAATGCTCATTTTTTAAAAAAGACATGAACATTTTAAAAGTTGTATGCAGTTTGAAAAGATGGAACTCTTTTCAACATTCATATTTTTAAAATATGAATCACACTATGGGACCAATGTTATGGCAGAAGCATTCTGCTTGACATAAATAATACAAATTTTTTTCCTGCCCTTATGTCCTGCATTCCATACCATTTTATTAAGTAATATCACACACACACAGACAAACACAAACACATATATTTGGGCAACATTGCTAAGTCCATTATTACCCAAAACATCTTGCTAGTTCAGATTCAGCATTGGATTTAGCATTCATGCGCAGTAAGGACTCCAGTATCATAATAGTTTTTCTCTTCTGATGCCTTCTTTAGAAGCTTTTTAAAAAGTGGTTTAATCTGGGAGCTGTAATTTAAATTTCTCACAATATCCCAGAATAATGCTATTTTTGAGAAATGAATACCTACATGAGTAGCTCAGTACCATTATATAGGACCCCCAGACGTCTATCTTTAACGACAAATTGGATTATTACAAGATAGCCATTCACTTCCCACTTAAAAAGAACCATAGATATTTACTGACCACCAGATTTCCAATGACCATCACCATCATGAAGACAATAAGGCACATTGCCTGTCCTGCCACTTCCATACAGTCCCACATAGTTTCAATCCATTCTCCACATAGTACACGGAAGACGATAAGAAAAGAGTGGAAGAAGTCATGCATATGCCATCGTGGAAGAACACACTCAGGGTTGATTTTGCAGACACATTCCTTGTAGTTCTTGCCAAAAAGCTGCATCCCCACTACAGCAAATATGAAAACAATGATGGCCAGCACCAAGGTCAGGTTCCCCAAGGCACCCACTGAATTACCAATGATTTTTATCAGCATGTTCAGAGTTGGCCAGGATTTTGCCAGCTTGAAGACTCTCAGCTGCAAGATGAAGGAGAAAACACACATACTTAATGAAAGCAGGGGGGGGGTTTGACACGATAAAACAATACTTATAGAGAAATTAACTGATTGTCATTAATTAAACACTGGACAGGACATCTCTAGAGATAAAGAATTATAACTATGAATTTTCAGCTGGAAAGGCTCATTATGAAGCCTTTCAATCAGTCATTATCACTGTACATCGTGCCAAACATGAAAACATAATTTTTCAGGTTGGGAATATTTAATCCAGTCTTGAGATCCATTTGACTTTAAGGCGTGAGAATATTTTTACTCTTCCGGGAATATACTTCTATATATTACATATTCCTGTATAATACTATAAAAGCTATTTTAGCAGGCTGTAAAATTATTTTTTCTGTCAATTAATTCATCTCATTTTGATAAACAATATGGTTCTTTTTAATTATCCTTCTGAAATGTACATAATGCTAATAAATATAACAATAACACTCAAGAGGCAATCTGTTTTTTCACCACATTGTTTCTTTCCACTTCACCTTACTTTTCTGCTCCTATTCTCTGGATAATAGATAGAATTTTCTCCGATGGACACTCCTTTTCTATTAGTTTCAATTGCATGAATATTTATAGTGGCCCTCAGTTCATCCTCATAGGTGCTACTTGAGAAAGATCAGATACACTGATGTAAATGATGAAGACACATAGTTTGGGTAATCTTCAGTATCATAGCTGTACTACCTAAAGGCCTGAACTGGTTAGGGAGAATCATAACAATTATGTATTTCTTCATTATTCCACTGGATGAAAAAGACTTTCATCAGTTGGAAAGAGGACACTGCTGAAAGCAACCATGTTTATCTCATTCAACTATGGAAGATTTGAAATGGAGCAGTATAGTTACAGAAACCATAGACAGAAATCACAGAGACCCCAAGGAACTTTTTGTTGTTGCTGGATTAAAGCATTTCACAAATTTCAAACTCTTAAGCATCATTAGCATATGGTAATTTGTTTGCATGAAACCCAACAGCAATTTCTTATATTTATATCCAGATAAATATACATTTATAGCCAAGGTTCAATGTGTAAAATAAATAAGGAATACCAATCTGAAAGATCGCAGCACTGAAAGCCCCTCCACATCTGCTAGCATCAGTTCTAATAAACTGAGTGAGACAATAAATCCATCAAAAATGTTCCACCCTTCTTGAAAATAGTAGTAGGGATCCATTGCTATGAGCTTCAGGAACATTTCAGCTGTAAAAATTCCAGTAAAAACCTGAAAAGAAAGAGAATATTTAAACTGAATTAATGTGATAACACAACAATTATTTTTTTTCTAGAATTTGTTTCACCGCAAGAAATGTAGAGGAAATCTTCCAACTTTTCTCCTGGAAGCTGACTTGAGGTTTTAGGGATGAAGAAGAGAAGCACAGCTGATATTCAACCATCTCTCAAAAGTAAAATAAAATAATAAAAACAAAAGTAAAATAAACAGCAATACTGGGGACATTGATTTTTTTTTTTTAAATCATGTAGGGTTATTCCAGAAGCAGGATGAACTCTCTCCACCAAAAAAGCTGTAAATAATTTTGCTATAAATGTGCTTCTTAACGGCAAAACAAACTGGAAGAAATCCCTTGGTCATCTCGTATATTAAAAAAAATAAAATAAGTACAATCCTGGGCCTATCTCTATCTGATTTGATGAGTATTTAAAAATCACACAATGATCTCATTTAAAGGTGTGATGGTCCCAAAATAGCCCTGTGGGCAATAGTATGAAATGATTTTTGTGGAACCACACAAATCTTAATTTTCTGAATTTGTCTAACAAAATTCAACAGCTCTCTTCAGTCTGATGAAGAGGTTGTGAATAATTCAATCACTCTTCTACAATTACAAAATACTAATCAGACATCCTGGATTTGTGGTGGTAGTGGTGAAGGCGTTGGCCTAGAAACTAGAAGACCAATCCCATCTTAGGCATGAAAGCCAGATTGGACCAGTTACTCTCTCTCAGTCCACAACCCACCTCACATGGTTGTTGTTGTGGGGAAAATAGGGGTTGGAAGGAGTATTAGTATATTTGCTGCCTTTAATTACTTATAAAGTAATAACCGTAATAAAATCTAGTAAATAAATACTGTTCTTTAATAATTCCACCTGCCACTGGGAAATTTTTAATGCAAAAACTGCTTACCAGATTTCCTACAGCCAAGACATGCTCAAATTGTGGGGTCATGGGATGATGTTCCATTGCCATGAAAAGAGTATTTAGAACAATACAGATAGTAATGGCTAAATCCACAAAAGGATCCATGACAATCAGGTTGACAATCTCTTTTAACTTCACCCAGTGTGGGTGGCACTCCCAAATGAGGAAGGTGTTAGCAAATCTGTACCAGCAAGGGGGACATTTTCTTTGGGATTCTTCCAGTTCTGTATCATCACAACAAAATGAGGAAGAAGTTAACATGAATGAACACATAGTTTATTCAAAAATTCAAACTACTCAAAGAAACTTAATGCCAGAACTGAGTCATTCTTAATTTGTTGGCTCTGCTACCCCTAATTCAGATCTGTAAATTTATTCTTTTTGGATATTAAAAAAAGCCAAAACATCATGTTAAAAATGGGGCACAAAATACATATGCCTGATAAATAAAAAAATGTATATAAACTGAGACTTGGATGTCATTTAAACTTCGTAACTTTGTAAGGCCTGCATACTTTTAACGTTCACGTATTTATCATGATATTTTGCTCTGGTTGATTAAGTAACAGAAAAGGAAATAATCTTTGGAAATGTAGTGACCTTATGAACTTGTTGAAATGGATACATTCCTATTACACATACCTTCTACAAGAGTATTTGTTATGACTGTCATTATACTATTGGTTCTATCCTTTCTTCCATATGAAGCATTCAGTTGGTCCATTGACACCAGAAGTGACCCAGTGGCTTTCTTCTTAATCTCTACTTCTGTGGTTGCCTGCAAAATCCATTAATGTTCTTTAAAATGTTTTTCTTTAAATAGGCTTTTGACTGAAAAGAGAGAATTTGTTTTCTACTCCTCTATCAGATCTGGATTATATAGCAGATGTGACTTCCACTGTCAAAATTATCCTCCTGCTTCTTTTCTTGCTGCAGGGAAATCTTTTCCCCTGCAAGAATAAAAGCAATTAATGGGAAAACTTGGTTCATAAAAATTATCCATGAGGAAAGGTTAAAAAAATCTTCCTCTTTAGTTTTAGTCAAATTCAGACTCAGCAGTAACAAAAAAAAATTAGAATAATTTTTCAAATTGTACATACCTAGCTTAATCCTAAACATCACTAGATCATCATTTAGAGTGCAGTTTTGTATCTATGAAATTAAAGAAAATTAAGTGGGCATAAATAGAAACATAGAGTGATTGTATTGTTTGTGTTTGTCTACGGTTGATTCTAGTAGCAACTTAATTTTGACTGGTTCCTTCCATGTTTCTCTGTAATTAGAGACAAACACAACTATATTGTATTAAAAATAATTTGATTCGCTATCGCTTTAGGACAAACAAATTCATTATCTGTTGCTTATGATCTACATATGTTGCTATTTGGAAGCCACTATTTATCTGATGATAGTCAATATTCCCTAAATGGTTTCGCATATGTAGTGATTAGTTGAACAAAAGCACTGCTTGGGAAGTCCCTGTGCAAGGAAAATATCAGGAAACTGGTATGTAACATAGCAATATATCTCATAATGTTTTTCCATGCATCATGCTATTGTTAGCAACTTGTAATTTTTGCATGCTGTTAGAGAAATAAATTCTAGAACAACACAGTATAGTAACATGCTAACTAGGGGAAAGGGTGGGGACTAAACTGAAATTAATTAGGAAAGGCTTCAAACATTCTCAGGGAGAAATGATTTAATTTTGCTTGCAGGAATTAAAGATGTTTGGGATTTCATTTTTTGTGTTTTGGAAAAAAAGAGCTTGGAGTTCACAGACGAGAAACAAGACCGACGTTATGTACCTCATCCAAAGACAAAAGAAAGTTTTCTTAGTGTTTCTTCTGCCACTGGTGAAATTTTCACTTTAGTAGTAAAGTAGCTGTATTACTATAAATTGGAATTGGGGGGAAAAATGAAGCTTTAAGAAAGTAAGAGAGGATGTTGTATGGAAAAGTTGTCTTAGGAGACAAAATAAATCCCCTTCTTTCACTTTTCTAGTCCAGGTTGGGATTCCTGACTCATGTGCCAGCCTAAATTGCATCTGGATGTTAATAATGGTATTTATACCATTGATATAGGGATAATAACCCTATAAATTTGTATTAAAAGTTTATACCATTAAGGTTTGCTTTGTGACGGTGATGGATACAGTATATCTGATCTTTTACCTCTTCTTTGCTCTTTTTTATTTTTAAACATATATGTCAATGGGTTAAAATTTCATGACTGTAGCAGAAGCATACATTAAATAAATCTCCTAATATTTTCCCTATTCCACCGTTGTTAATATTAATATGTTCTGAATTCTTATTCTTTCTATTCACAAAGGAATGTGTGTGTTTTTAAATTAAGAATGAATAAATAATAAATAAGAGGGTTTTTTTTAAAAAAAATGGAGAATTCTGCTATTTTTTCCTCTTTAAACCAGCTATCTTAGGCAAAGCTTTCTTTCTTTTTAATAGCCAACATAATTTTGTGCCCTAGAAAAAACTATATTGATCATCTTTTAGAGGAGATTCTACAGTGTTCCAAATTACAAGAGCTACTATTATGTGGTGGAATGTGCACCTGTGCAGCAGCAGAGGAGGAATATTTTGCAAACTCAGAGCTGTCCCAGAAAGTGGCCAGATTAAGAGACTGCATAGTTCCGAGCTGGAAGGGGGAAGAGGTTCAGGGTAGCCCCACCCTAGAACCTCTCAAGTTATAGCTAGTAGGAGCAGTGCTTTTTTTCAAAAAAAAAAAAAAGGTGCCGGAACTCACACACATCATACAACCCGCCTTGCCTACCCTACAAAGTTCCATCCCAAAAAGGTTCCGGAACTCCATTCTGGGCGTTCTATGAGAAAAAAAGCCCTGAGTAGGAGAGAAGGTTATAACTTTAGCTTGGCAAGATTCTGTCCATTAGGTGAAAACCAGTAAAGAATTAAACTGGATTGGATCTTACTGGGATTCAGCCTGACATATTACGAGTGAAGAGCAACCTGCAGTCTCTTTATTTTCACTATGAGAAAATCATCTTTTTTTCTCAATACCCTGAAAATTCTGAAATAATGCCATTATTGATGGATTACAGAGCAGTGAAGGGAAGTTTTATTACATTTTATTTCAACCATCTTGCTTTTTAAACTACAAACTAAAGTTTCTTGAAAAAGGAAAGAAATAATTTGTGAGGAAAATATTACACAGAATTAATTCTATTTATACATGTGGGATTTAAAAATATCTCCTCTACCTCATTCATACCCAGATGTTTTTCTAGGTAATTTTCAGATAATTTCACATTTTTGATGTAACAAATAGCACATTTATCAGTATTATATTCTTTTTTTAAAAAAAAATAAAATCTTCCAAGCCATTATTTTCTTAGTGGTCCAAAGGAAGAGGAAGAAGAAAATGGGAATAGGTAGAAGAAAAAATAAGAATTAAAAGCAGAATAATTTGGAAAGAGGGTTCAGACGATCATATGTCAAACCAATTTCTAGTCATTCCATCAGGGATCCATTTGGCGGCATACAGGAATGCAGAAAGAAGGGCAGACCGCCATGCCTAGACTGTCTACTCACTGACTTCCTTACATTGTCATCAGTAGCTGCCTTATCTATTATCACCTCAGGCAGAAGACGCCCGCTGGGGATGTTAGAAGTTGGGCCACCGATCAGGGAGACCACACCATTACAGTCCACAGTGCTATTCCGCTTCACGTTCCGACGAATGCTGGGAAAAATGCGTGATGACCGGCTTCCTTGGCTATAACCACTGTAACCACTGTAGCTGCTTTTCCTGTCATAGCCTCGGATAGGGATGAAGAGTGAATCCCTCCTGCCCTCGCTCTCTTCCACTGTGCTGTGCTCATCATCGGCAAATTCATTCTCTGACCCAGGATCCCGGAACCCTCTCTTGAAGCTGAAAAGACTGCTTTTGCTGTTGTGTCGAGAGAGATATGGGGATCCTGGAATGCTAAGCAGTGACTGAAAGGGAAAACAAAGAAGACGACAAAATTGGAATTGGGCAACAGAGGCAAAAATCCATAGAGTACCACTACTGAAGGAAATGACATCCTGGATTAAAAAAAAAAAGCTGGAAAGGAAATAAATTCTTCATGAAAATACTTCACAAATATACTAGAGGCAATTGGGCAATTATTTCAAATCAAATACATAATTTACATTTCACTTCTCTTGTCGTAGCTTGGTAGTCCCATTTACTCCTTGGACTTGGCAGATTACAGGTGGTCCTTGATTTATGACCACAATTGAGCCCAAATTTCCTGTGGTTAAGTGAGAGTTGTCAAGTGAATTTTGCCCAATTTTACAACCTTTCTTGCCACAGTTGTTAAGTGAATCACTGCAGTTGTTAAATTGGTAAAGCGATTGTTAAGTGAATCTGGCTTCCCCATTCACTTTGCTTGTCAGAAGGTCACAAAAGGTAATCACATGACCCCAGGACACTGCAACCGTCATAAATATGAGTCAGTTGGCAAGCAGTTGTCTGAATTTTGATCACATGACCATGGGGATGCTGCAATGGTCATAAGTGTGAAAAATGGTCTTAAGTCATTTTTTTCAGAGCCATTGTAACTTCGAACAGTCACTAAATGTAAGCCGAGGACTACCTGTAGTAGCTGCGAAGCTTAAGCAAGGTGGCGAAGGAACAGAAGCAAGGCCTTCATTGTATCAAAGATTGCTGCATGCACAGAATCAAATTAAAACACTGATTATAAAAGGGGAACATGTTGCACAGCTATCTGAAAAGGTGGATAAAGACTCCAGTCCATCCTTCTCTCACACAGCCTTGGCACAATATAAAGTTTAGATTTGGAAATTTTGTTTATGGAACTGAGATTTTACCTGGTTCATAATGGAGAGTTTCCGGCCAAGCCTGTTGTCCGGCAAGCGGAAGATCTTCCTCCTCATTCCATCTTCTGATTCTGACTTAAATACTTTCTCAAGATCTCCCTTCTCCTCTCCTTCCGAGAGCTCCTTTTGCTTCCGCTTTTTCCTTCTGTTTCGTCTCTCCTTGGCACTCTTAGAGCTGAGCTTGGAGAACTCGGAAGAGGTGTGGGACATCCTTCCCCCACCATCTTCTTCTACACCATCTTCAGACACGGTCCCTGCTGAGGTAGCCATGGCTGCAGCCTTCGGAAAAAGAGAAATGTGAAGATGTTAAAATATGTATGTGTTTCACTTTGAGAGCGGGCAACTAAATTTCATTTTTGATGTGTGCCGTTGTGCCCACAGTAAAAAAAATGATAATAAAGGTTATCTTATCTTATCTTATCTTATCTTATCTTATCTTATCTTATCTTATCTATATGAATTTCTAAAGGTCAGGAAAGTGATCAACTAACACAGGATCAAGCAAGGAGTAGCATTCAGGAGAGTGAATCTGTTGGTAGATACATGGTATATTCAGCAGATCAGCACAAATCATGTCTCTTTCCAGTTTTTTAACCATAGTAATACAACACCCAAATAATGCTCCTATCACCATACATTATAATGCTGACATTAAAACAATGAGGTCACCAGGCATGGATTATGTGTGAAAAAGAGGAAAAAAAGATATATATATTTTTCTGCAAGGTAGAAGCCACCCTCCATATTTTTTCTCAGGGATAGGCCTACCCAGTCTAGCCACAAGGAGGCCATTTGAGATAATCTCACAGCTGACAAAGTTCACAGTGATTTACCTAATGCAAATAGGCCTATCTGAACTTGGGAGAAAACACTTTCCAGTCTTCAAACCTTGAGTGTGTCCACACGTAATACTAACTTCTATATAAGACACATCACAGATTATTTAGTTGACGGCAATTTTACATCACCTCCCCTTCTAACTAATATGCCAACCAACCATGTGATCTGTGGATAACCATTCCTTCACAACAAGAATACAGGGTGGCTTGATCAGAGTCAGAGGCTTTTCAGATAAAGTCTAGATCTTCTACAAGCACTGTAGTATTGGCCCAGCCCAAAGTTGGATGGTTTGTTTCATTGGTGTGAGTTAGCTAATAATCACACAAATGTGAGTGGGAACATATTCAAACTTTATTTCTATTCTGTGGCGCTCACACCAGGGACCAGATCAGTAATGGCAAACTTTGGGTTCTGTGTATCAAAAATTTAGAAAACCCCTAACTTGATTCCGCTGGCCTGTCGCATACAAACACAAGGGGAAAATATATATTCATTTATTTTAAACCATACAGTCTAGTCATGCGTGCTAATGTATAAAGAAATGTCAAATAATTACAAAAATAAAACACGAGTAAAACAAATTCCTTTCTAAAGAGTCTGGAGGCTGCACAAAAGTACACCTTATTCTTTTTAAGAATAGTTGTTGTCGGGTGTTGACGAACACTGCTATGTCACTCAAAATGTTAAGGTATGACACCTTTGACACATGTGTCATTGGTTCATCATCATTGGACTAGAGTGACAAAGCAAATGACCCCTACATACCCTCACAACAGGTGTATATGCCTTACAGATTACATCAGTGGTTTTGATTGGTTGAAGACATTTACTTCATAATGCATCTTAACTTTTGGTGGGCTCTTCTGTGTCTCTGGGCAGATTTCCTAAAATCCTCATGGAGGTGCCTAGTAACTATTCTAACTTTTTCCCTAGGAATTTCCAGCAGTTCTTTAGTGTGGTGCCATCAGAAGGATGGAGCTTGTGAAAAGCAGAGCAATAGCTATGCTACTACAGAAATAGTCTACTTTTGCAGGCCATAATTCAAATGGCGGTTAAGACTTTTTGCCTTAATTTCAGTAACAGACACAGTCTAGGTTCAGGCCATATTCCGAAACAAAATTTTGCACAGCATGTCATGTGAACAACATCACTGTGTTTTATCGGAGTCCGACTATGAACTGAATACTCTTCAACTTCCAATTCTGCATTGGTAAGGATAATGCTTCAGCATCACTTTTCTGTATTATTAGGATTACAGATAGTCCTCAACTTACAACAGTTCATTTAGTGACCATTCAAAGTAACAACAGCACTGAAAAAAGTGACTTATGACCATTTTTCACACTTATGACCGTTGCAGCATCCATATGGTCACATGATAAACATTCAGATGCTTGGCAACTGACTCGTATTTATGACGGTCGTAGTGTCCCAGAGTCATGTGATCACTTTTTGTGACTTTCTGACAAGCAAAGTCAATGGGGAAGCCAGATTCACTTAACAACCGTGTTACTAACTTAACAACTGCAGCGATTCACTTAACAACTGTGGCAAGAAAGATTGTAAAATGGAGCAAAACTCACTTAACAAATGTCTCACTTAGCAACAGAAATTTTGGGCTCAGTCATGGTCGTAAGTTGAGGACTACCTGTTGAGGAAACTTTCTGTATTATTGGGATTAGGGGCAAGAAATAACAAGTAACACCATTATGAAATAATGGGTGGAATTAAATGGTTCAGAATATTTGCATAGGTTTTAGATGGAAGCAAAATTTTGGTATTCATAGTTAACACCATTTTTTAAATAATGGGGTAGAAGAAAGAAAGAAAGAAACCTGGGCATCCTCCTGTTGCTTTTTCAGTTGTTCCAACATGGCCTTGAATTCTGCTTCCTTCCGCTCTGCCTCTTCCAATGTAGCCTGGTTTTGTTCTTCATAGGCCATAGCCACTACAGCCAAAATCAAGTTCACCAGGTAGAATGACCCAACAAAAATAACGAGGACAAAAAAGATCATGTAGGTTTTTCCTGCTGCTCGCAATGTCTGTAAAGAAGGGAGGGCAATTGTAAGATTTCCTGACCGCACCACCAAGTAAAAAAGAATTTATAGTGCACTGTTTCTTCCTCATTGCATAGATATCCCTAGTATTCCTGGTACATGGAATTAATGTTTTGCTTTGTCTACAAGTGACTTCTAAGATGTTGCATTTCAGTTTTACATATATCCTGCTCCTTCTCTAATGCATTCTGCTGCCCTGCCTCAATAAGAGACTGACCAGGAGTTTTATTTCTCACCGACCTTTCTGTTGGAAAAACCATTCATGATCTCTACCCACCAGAACTGATAATCTTTTCGAGAATGAAGCAGTCATACTGTATATGTCTCTATACCTCTCTCTACCAGAGCTGAAGTTTTGCAGCAGCTAATTCAAGTCACCATCATCACATCGATCTAATACGAACATTATTTTGTTGCCAATAACAGCAAGTGTCCTCTTCACTAACACCTGGCTAATACCATTTAATATTAATGTTTCCAACATTAGAAGTTCCTTTTGTCAAGCATCCATAAGCATTACATACAATTGCTTTACATTCTTCAAATTGTAAGTGATACATAGGGCAGGGCAGGGCAGGGCAAAGCAGGGCAGAGGTGTATAAACCCTAAAACCCAGATTGTGAACCAAGGAGCTCTTCTTGATGGAAAAATGGCCAGTTTCTTGCCATTTTGAGAGAAGAATCTCTGAACTTAGACTGCAAGCCTTGGATTTATATCTAGCCAAATCCCAAAACAGAGCCAAGAAAAATTCTGAAACTTCCCTCCTGCAATAGAGAAAAAACAGTTCTGGCTCCCACCTTCTTTACATTGTAAATCTAACCTTTGCAGACTCTGGACACTCAGTTCCAGCCATTAAATCATTGCCCATCCCCTGTTTTTAGGCAAGAAATCATGGATAGACATACTTACTAACTGATACAAGTTTTCCCAAAAGTCCTGAGTCATGAGGCGAAATAAGGCCAGGAAGGCCCAACTAAAAGTATCAAAACTGGTATAGCCATAGTTTGGATTCCTCCCTGCTTTCATACACGTGTATCCCTCTGGGCATTGGCTGCAGACAAGATGGAAGGAGATGTTTCAGATTTGGGAGAGTAGAAAATATCCAACTCCAAAGGCAAAGAGTAACCATAGTCATTTTCACAGTTTCTCTTTTGACTATCGGTTTTGTGCTAAACTGATTGATATTACCAAATATCATTGGTAATATCAACATTATTTTTACTGACTCAACATTACTAGAATGATTTTTTCATCTAGGACAACCTTTCCCACTTGGGTTGTTTTTGATAAGTCCCAGATGTTGGTGTTCAACTCAACTGCAATTAATCAAATAAGAAAAGATTGTATATTCTATAGGCGAATATGCAAAAGTCATATTGTAGGGAACCAGAGAGATGACCTTAGGGAAATTATTCATAGAAGATTATAGTGGCATGTCCAAAATGGAAACAGGGAAAATATTAAGAGACTCATTTCTCCTGACTCCCTGGAGCAGGCATGTCAAACTCACGATGTCACGTGATGTCGCGTGACGTATCGTGACATTTTCCCCATTGCTGGCAATGGGATGGGCATGGTTTTGGCGTGATGCATCTGACCCGTGAGCCGGCAGTTTGACATGCCTGCCCTGGAGTATAAGAGCAAATGAAGGGAAAACACAACCAGACTTACAACAGGGAGCCACTTTGGCCTAATGGTTAAGACACCAGGTTAGAAACTAGGAGACTGTGAATTCTAGTCCTGCTTTAGGGATGGAAATAATCTGGATGACTTGGACCACTCACACTCTCTCATCTCACAGGATTGTTGTTGCGGGGAAAATAGGAAGAGGAAGGAATATTAAGTATACTTGCTGCCTTGAGTTTTATATAAAAATAATAAAGGTGGGATTAAAAAATCTACAATAAATTCTGTTTATTTTAGCCTAACGCAAAAAACTATAGCTTTAATCATCTTGTGAATTCTGATCTGGTCAACTTCAAAAGGCTGACACGTACAGTATATACTCATTGGTCACGGCAATCTTAATTCCTTCTGTACCAAGGCAATATGCCACCTCAGAGAAACAAGTAAATACAACTTTAGAACAAAAAACAAAATAAAATACCAATTGGACTGTGCTTGTCTGCATCAATATTTCACAAATATTCAAGAAAGAGCTAATTTGCAAAGCACCCCATTTAAGCAAAGTCTGGCAACTGGGAAGATTGCAACGTAAGATGACAGTATAATTACCAATAGTTATAGTACTCCATTGCTTTTGACTTGAGGCAATAAGTAATTAAGATTGAGTGAGCTTCCTATTCGCACATGAGGTCACAAATAAATGTAGGTGAAGAGAACAAGTGCAATTCCAATCCCAATCCCAATCCTGTACTTTAACAAGGCGGAGTTCATGCCTTACAAAGCTAATGGTGACAGATAGCAATAGCCATAGCACATAGACTTATATACCGCTTCACAGTGCTTTACAGCCCTCTCTAAGCGGTTTACAGAGTCGGCGTATTGCCCCCAACAATCTGGGTCCTCATTTTACCGACCTGGGAAGGATGGAAGGCTGAGTCAACCTTGACTCAGTAAGACTGCATTCTAACCACTGTGCCACCACGGGCACAGATAGTTTATTATTAATAAGCTTCCTATTAAAAAAAGAGGTTAATTTTTCAAACAGCCTAAGGTCCCTTAGCACTGGGTAGACAGATTGCTTTATAAATAAATCCATGTAAGTCTATATATGGATTAATCTATGTATGCTGACTTTTATTTTCCCATTAGTGAAGAAAGACTGGCTGTGGGGAAGAGCGAAGAAAGCTCAATTGAGCTGAAAACTTACCCTGCATCAGAACTGTTACCACATAACAATGGATCAAGAAACCCAGGTATTGTGTAAAAATTTGCTGGAGGAGATAAAGAAAAGCACATAAGAATAAGCATATTGAGGAAGAACACAGACATTTAGACCAAGTATACTTTTGATCTAAAGCTTCTTTAACTGGAATATTAGAAAGGATGCTACCTGATGCCTGTACTGTTATCTTTTAGCACCTCGCAAAGATCTTTTTTTTTTCTTGTACATTTTAGGAATTAAACCCTAGAGATTAGATATAATCTGCAAATTTAATTGGATGGAACTGGAGAATGGAGGAACATTGCTTGGAGTTGGAGTGAATTATCCTTGATTTTTCTTAGCATTTTATTTTCACATAATTTGCCTGGAAAACATTTGCTATTAAAAGGATTTAAATCACACCAAATAAATTAAAAAAAGGGCTAGCTTTTCAGACACCTCAGTGTCAAGAATTATTTGGAGTCTTTGCCATTTCATAAAGCAAGTGTGATTAGGAAGGGCACATGTCCACGATCATCTATGGCTGGCTGAATTATCCCGTTACCAGCCTGTAAATACCAAGCACTATTCTGACAGGAGATTTGTAATTTCATTTTCTAATGCCAGTTAAAATGTGTTTTGCCATTTTTTAAACCAGTCTAGGAATCCCAAGTATAAAGCCATCCCCAAAATCATTTATAAAGGCATTATTTGGTTTAAATCATTTTTAATAAACACATACACTTTGCCAAACCAAGGGAACAATGATGATAAAAGTAATACCCATAGTCAGTATGTTTAAAGGGATTAAGACTAATGGAACATCAAAGGAATTTTAACAATGGTAAGAAGACAATATGCAAATATAGCTTGTTAAGGAAAAGATATGCAAGTAGAGATCAAGGTGTGTACTTGCCATTCAAAGTACAGTAATTGTTGGCCTTAATCAAAGTATTCATGGGGTAGTCCAGTAAATATTACAGTTAATATAGACAGAGAAAATGATGGCAGCAAAAGGTAGCACCTACACATATTGTTGCTGTATTCTTCCCAATTAAATCCCTTGGTGCCATTTTCTAGATAGGTCTCATTGAGATCGATGGGCCAGATGACACATTTGTTTCTTAGATTCCCCATGAACAGCTGTAGCCCAATTAAAGCAAATACACTGAGGCAAAACACAGTCAAAATCATCACATCAGAGAGTTTCTTCACAGACTGGATCAGGGCTCCCACAATAGTCTTCAGACCTGGAAATAGGAAACAAACCAGTAATGATATTTATGTGGAAACATAGACCTAAGCACAAAACAACCTTTATAGGGTGCTCAGATTATAAGTAAAGACAAACAGAATGATCTGTAAGGACTGGCAAGATAAAAAGCAATCAATAAAAAATAAATGAATGGCATGGAAAAGAAAACGTAAGTTCGCCTAACTTTCAGTAAGTGGTGATGGATATACCTATCAGCACAATGGAATAATACACCAAAATTTCCTGACTCTTTGGAAAGTTGTTTTATTGTCCAAAGAAATCTATATTAATAGGGAGCAGGATGTCAAACAGGGAAGTTGGGTGGATTTATTAGAAGCTGCTACCAGATAAAAGATTCCCATCTTAATAAGTTGGTCAGATCAATGGTTAAAAAGGAAGCTAGGAAAGGAAGTTTCCCCCACCAAGGAGGATTTCTCTGGATAATAAAGCAGCATTGCCAGGAGTGAGAACTTTCTTACACAGTACGGTATTCAATTGTGCTGGTATGTACTTCCCCAGTCATTCACAGAAAATTATATGAATATCACCTTCACTTTCTTTTTTTCCAAGAAATCAGTGTCATGAATGCCAAGCATAGTGTTAATTTGCTTAAACAATGAAAAATGAAGGGTGAAAGAAGTTAACAAAGCATTCAGAGCTTACCTGCCCCCCCCAATCAATTTTCAGATGTCAGAGTCTTTTACACGTAAGCATGTATTCAGGATTCCAAATGAGACAAATTTCATCTCATTTTGAACTGAGACACTGTGTAATGGCTCAGAGAGCAAATCTTGGACAGATAGATAAGAACTGAAAATACCCTGCGAAAGAAGCCATCCTTTCACATTTATCTTTCTTAAACTATATGCAGAAGTTAAAGTCTCTGCACATAGACAGAAGCTAGTTATGTCATTTAGGAGAATTTGGCTTAAAAGCTCTTGGAGGAGTTTTTATTAGAACCACTGTGAAGAAAGAAAGATTCCCCCCCAAAAAAAGCCTTTGTTATCTTCTAATCACAGCAAATCAACGAATCAAAAAGACTTTTGATTCAGCTGATGCTCTTTTGGAAACCAGATCTTAAGTTGAGGCAGGGGGTTGGAAAAGGGTTTTTAGAGTTTTAAGCATCTACAGCACAAGACTTCAGGCACACATGCTCCTTACCCACTCAACCCCACTGCACAAAAATAATCTAAGAATAGGCCCAACATTTTGGTTCTAGGGTTGCCTTAAGAATGTACATCAAAAAAAATGATGCTATGCTACACTTTTGGCATGCCCAATGGGATGAAACATCTGATTTTAACTGAATGAACAGCATCATCTTGCAGAATGACAAAATTAATTGAGAGCTTATACAGATTTTTTTTCAACATGCTCCCAGCTACTGCTCCTCTTTCTGAAAGTTTAAGCAAGATTTCCAAGATACAGGAAAGTATATTGAAAATGTCAGAACAAATAAATTTCACATGCATGGAATAGCTAAGGTGATATATACTGTAATTTAAATAGGGAAGAGGCGGAGGGGGGAAAAAGAAGGGAAAACCAGGGCAGTTAGATAGGTGTGAGATAGATTAGAAGAACCTAATCAATTAACAACTGTAATCTGTTAAAAACTGGGAGTAGGTTATATGCTTTATCAGCACTCCTACTGCACTGTATTTTTGGATCAATCAATTACTGTATTGCAATCTTCTGCCCTCCAAATCTGTTGGGTTATAATAGATAACCTACCATATAGATTATTGTGATTATAGCCATGTGTCTTCCACAAGTGCATATTGCAAAGATGAAGGGGTTGTGCCTGGCTTTGAAACTTACTGTGCCCTTTAACATGATTACAATATAAGACATGACTATCAAGATCTCTACCTTAAACACATTCAGGAGAAATGATGATCTCACAGTAATAACCATATACTCAAGCACTGCTTGGGGTACTCCAGAACTGCATATGTGGACCAGCAAACTGCTATGCACTTTCTGGATTATTTGGTAATAGTGTTAGACACATTTATTTTTAAAAGGCTGCACTGATTTTTGCATTTTCATATTTAATAATGGATAAGTTACTTGACTGAGTAAATCAGGCATGTTACTACTAAATTTATTGTCCAAAATGCACTTTTTTTGCATTTTTAGTTGTGTTTTTATGTTTTTATATTTGGTGAGCATAGGATTTAAAAGCAAATCACCCATCTTGAGGGTTTGTTAAGGTTCTTTGACAATTCCAAGTGTTCCAGGATGAATTCAGATTCTCTCTCTCTCTCTCTCTCTCTCTCTCTCTCTCTCTCTCTCTCTCTCTCTCTCTCTCTCTGTGTGTGTGTGTGTGTGTGTGTGTGTGTGTTTGAGTGTTCACGCACATGCTTGTACATGTATCTATGCAGGCACAAACATGGAGGTTAGCATGGGGCTGGTGTCTGCAGCTGTTTGCGCATGCTCTGCTAGCCCAGGTGGTTTGTGTGGCCTGTTTGCGCATGCGCGTGGCACCAGCACATGCAGCATGCACGAACGGGGCTGCTAGTGCTGCTCCAGTGTGCATGGCCCTATGCGTGCACACACGCACGCACACCAATTTTGAAGCTGCTCTCCTTCCTTCTGGTCCACGAGCCTGGAAAGGTTGGAGACCTCTGCTATAAGCCATGTCTTTTAATTTATTTGTTTTAATTTATTTGCACATTTAATTCATATACACATTTATTTTAATTTATGGACATTAACATTTATTCTAATTTATAATTTACTATGCATGAATTATGCACAGTAATGAGCCTAATTTATTAATTTCTCACTTTATTTCAAGCATTTTTGGACATGTTTATTATTCCCAGTTCTTCATTTCATATTTATTTCCTGATTCAAAGTCTATTTTCACAATTTCCCTCGGCTGTAATTGATATTAATATTTCCAGATTGTTGCTTTCAAGAATTCCCAAAGCTCTCCACTTAGAAGGATTTGGGAGGGTGCTGCTCATTCTGATGTATTCTGCTTTAAGCTTGTAATTTTTTTTGCAAGTGTTCCTTTGATAAGTAACAACAAACGACCCTTCCAGAGCCCAATGCTGCTTTGACATAGGGAGCTGCATTCTGCATGCATTCCTTTCATAACTGTTGAGACCAACAGTATCCCCACTATGCCTGTTGTTGGAATTTTAAAAATCACATATTCCTTATTATATCTTGTTTGGGCTACTGTGACAAACCCAAAGTAAGTGTAAGGGATGCCTTTGAAACTGCAGCTGCAAGCATATGGACTACTGCCACTTTTTTTTACATTTGTTGGGAAGGCAATCATTTGTACTCATCGTTTTGCTTTTCTTAAGTTGGTTTTGTTCCAGTAGATGTTCTTGTCCCTGATTTACTGATGCAATTTTAATTATTGTGCTTTTACTATGCACCTTTATAATTTAATTAAAATATGTCTTTTACACATATTTACACCGTTACCTGCTTTGGGAACTTTATTTTCACTAGGAAAATTGGAGTAGATAATTTTAACAAAATGAATAACGAATAGCCATATGTGACTGTGCCATCATTCGTGAAATGGATCTAAGAACTTAATTGCAAAAATGGCTTTACTATTACGAATATATATGTGAGATAAGATGCAGTGGAGCCATTTAAATGTTGTAGTATCAGACTAAAAACCCAGAAACTGTGAATTTTAGCACCTCCTTCATCACAAAGCCAGCTGGGCAGTGGTGGGATTCAGCCGGTTTGCACCACTTCGGCAGAACCGGTAGCTAATTTTTTGTTGCCCAGGCCCAGAATGGACTTCTCGAAGCGGCATCCACACAGAGAACCGGTTGTTCACATATTTGAATCCCACCACTGCAGCTGGGTGATTTCAGGCCTGTCACTTGTGCAAGCAAGACAGGGATAAGCAATTCACTTATACCTCTCTTGAGTTATCCTGTGTTGAATTGTCCCATGGCCATGGCGAGTTGGCCCATTTCAGCCCCCAGAAAGCAGGCAAGGGAAACCACTTCCAAAATCTTGCCAAGAAAACTGCAGGGACTTGTCCAGGAAGTCACCAGGAATCAAAAACTGACTTGTGACTTGAAGGCACAATTTTAAAAAAATGTGCCTTCAAGTCACAAGTCTTGCAGGGCAGAACTCTCTCTTGTGCTTCCTTTCTCAGAGATGTTTCTCCAGATACCATATCAGATATCAGTTTCTCCAGCTGTGACAACATTATATTTCCTGCTATTTGCTTGAAGTTAATCAACTGCATAATGGGTAAAAGTGGGTGGGGTGAAGTAAGTTTAGTACATTGGCCACTGATTTTGAACCTTGGGCTTGTTGTGTCAAAACTTCAGAAAATACCTAACTGGTCTCTACTGGTATATCACCACTTCCACCGAACAAAAGAGAAGCAATTCTCTATCTCCCCCTTATCTAGCCCTCCCCCCTAAACAGTGAGCGCGGCCGCACAGAAGTTGGGCCTGAAGTAGAGACTTCAGCATCAGGCCTAGCACTACCACCATCATCAAAAAGGCCACACACCACTTATCTTCAGGAGGTGTTCTCTCAACAGACCTCTACCCAGGGATGCTGTGGGTCACACGAGGCCTTCATTTTTGAAGTGGCTTTGGAGAAAGTTCTTTCACAACCTCTGCAGCTTTTGAAAACTGCACAAAAGTACACTCCATTGTCATGTGATTTTTTTCAGAGGTTCTGGATGTCCCATGAGAGCATGGCTCTTGCATGCAACTTCTGGTGGGTCCAGAGACCACACAAGAGCACGCCCCACTCTCATGCAGTCTCCGCAGCCTCCAAAAATTGCATGAAAAAAGTCCATACTTCTGAGAATTGTGATCAGGTGTTGATGAATGCTAATGTATCACCCAAAACATTATAGTGTGTCACTTTTGACACATAAGTCATAGGTTTGGCATCAATGAGCTAGGACAGTGGTAGCGAACCTATGGCACGCGTGCCAGAGGTGCACTCGGAGCTCTCTCTGTGGGCACATGCACTGTCGTCCCAGCCCCCTCCCCCATGGCCCCCTCCTCACCAGCAGCTCCCCCCAGAGGAGAGTTGCCCCCAGGCATGGCCTGCACAGAGCAGCGCAGCCAAGCACATGGCAGCAGGGACAAGACTCCACCCTCGCGCCCCGTCGTGCGTAGATGATGCTGCGGGGTGTGGGCAGAGGGCATGGCCGCCATGACACTGCTGGGCCGCCTGGGCGATCTGCTATGGCGGGCCGTGGAGATGGGTGGTCCTGCGGGCAGACGGGGTGGGGGCATAGCGGGGCAGGGTGGAGGGATGGAACGGGGGCAAAAGCGGAGCGGGCAGAGACGCAGGGTGATTTTTGGGCAGGCAAAATAGAATATGTGGCCCAATTTTAAGTGACAAGCGTAAGGGATATTTACTTATTTGGGCTCACATTTCATTTCAATCATTTATGATTTTGAATAGCAATATACAGTCTCCACATTGGATCTAAAATTTAAAATTATAAGCTCATTCAAATTGTCAGCCTATGTATTGTATCACTGCCTTCCTTGAGGATTGCTTCACCCATTAGAGGTGAATGCATCCTAAGAAAATGTCTTGTTTATCATGAATAAAATTGTGACGTGATGGGTTTTAATAACTAATGGAAATTTTAATTGAGAAGCCAATTTATGTATTTATGGAGTAATAAATACTCATGCCAAAGTTTCACTGTATATGTATATGTATATGTATATGTATATGTATATGTATATGTATATGTATATGTATATGTATATGTATATGTCATGGCCCCGTTGGAGCCCAAGTCTGAGAAGGAGGAGATGGAGCAGGGGCTGGTGTAGGGGAATGGAGCAGTCTCTATGGCTCAGGAGGAACGACCTGAGAATGAGGACGAAGCAGTCCTGGGTCCATTGGGCCTCGAAAGAGTAGGCAGGAAGGAAGAGAGGGCTCAGGCTGAGCAAGGAAGGGGGCAGGAGACAGAAAGGGCAGGCAGCAGAGCAGAGGAACTCAGGAACTCTGGAGACGAGCAAATGCCTCCCCTGCCCGATCCCCGAGTGTGAAGATTGGAAAGAAGGCAGAGTCAGCGCAGGGCGACATGACTACTTGGGAGGAGGGCGCCTCTCCCCTCCCCATGAGTTCACCTGGGGAATAATATTTAAGGAGACGCCATGTTTGTTTTAGGATTACACTCCCTTGGCTTTGCCTGCTTTTGCCTTGCTTTAAGAACTGCTTTTGCCCTGCGTGTCAAAGACTGCTTTTGCCTTGCTGTGAGGACTGCTTGTGGCTTGCTTTAGCCCTGAAGATTCCCCCTTCAGACTTGCCTCGCCTTGGACCCCCTCTTGTTTTGAGAAGTGCTCTTTGCATTTTGGTTTGAACTGTGCCCTTGTTTGTGAACTGCATTTGTCTTTTGTTTCACTGGGCCCCTTTCAGAAAACTGCTCCTTGGTCTTGGACCCATGCCTTGCACTGAGAACTGCCCTGGCTTTCTGTCCGGACTTTTGCCTTATGGACTTGTCAAGTAATTAAGAGCTGTTGTTTGGGGGAGTGAGGGTGGAGCCTGACTGGTCAGTGGAGGGTCATTTGTTAACCTTTTCCAGGAGCAATAAAGAACTCTCTGGAGGCCTGCCCAGTATGGCCTATCTGGGTCATAACAGTATATTTATATATGTATGGGCTGTTGGTTTGATGTTCGGGCTTGGTAATTAGGCTGCAAACATTTCATCTCCATTTGGGGGGACATCTTCAGTGCGAAATACCAGAAGCAACATTTGAAACAAACCAAACACAATTCAAACCGTACTGAATATGTCCCCCCCCCCCCCCGAACCCTAGACAAACCATTCGCAGCCTAATTACCCAGCCCAGAGATCGAACAAACAGCCTGGCAGTAAAAAAATGACAATAAAGGTTATCTTATGTTATCTTTTATGTTATCTTTTATGTTATCTTTTATGTTATCTTTTATGTTATCTTTTATGTTATCTTTTATGTTATCTTTTATGTTATCTTATGTTACCTTACGTTACCTTACCTAATTGTAATAAAAAGATAATAGGAAAGCATAACTGTTAAGATCAATGCATCCAAACCCTTGAAACTATAAAGTTATTCTATTAGTGGAATTATAATCCCTTGTTTTGCAGCAGTGCTTTGAATGGATTGGTTGAGGATCAATCATACTATATTTTATGCTCATGCAAACCACAAGGCCTATCAGAAATGTGCCACAGCCATTTTTGAAATGTGACAAGGAAGGCAAAGGGAAGCGAAGGCAAATGTAAGACACGGTCATTCTTAGATCATTTCTCACCTGGAATGACAGAGATAGTTTTCAAAGCTCGGAGAACTCTGAAAGTTCTCAAGGCTGACACATTCCCAAGGTCCACAAACTCTGTGACATATCTGCAATGAGGGAGGTCACACACAAAAAAAGACACAGTGACAATAACACACACCAAAAGGGGAACGAGGAATAAAACAACAACTACAAACAGCAGTACATCACTCACAGGGAGCTGCAACCCAACACCTAACACCAAACTGCCTTACCTGGAATTACAGAAATAGTTTTCAAAGCTCTCAGTACCCTGAAGGTGCGCAGAGCTGAAACATTGCCTAGGTTTACAAACTCTGTTATATACCTGCAGAATTAAACCAGAGTTAATGGCACCATTGGGGTCACCTGCCTTGAAAAGAAGAGCGTAATCTTCAGTTGCAGAGAAACAACTTTCAAATGTAAAATGCTTTGAAGTGTTTAAAAAAGGAGAGAAGAAACAAAGATGTAAATAAGACAATTTTCAGTGTTTCAGTTATCACAGGTCAGCTAATTTAATAAGGATAATTTGACAAGGACATCTCTAATATGGGCTCAAATATGAACAGCTGACTATCTTCATCAGCTGTAAGAATCTGGCTGTGGAGAGAAGTAGAAGATAGAAAAAGAGGTGATCTAGCATCACAAAAATAATGACGGAAACTAACCAGGATAATAGCAATTAGAACATGATTTTTTTTAAAAAAAAACAACACCACCCATTTTCAATGGGCGGTGTGGAAAAAACAAAGTTCTAAACAGATTAGGGTGAGCATAATGTAACGAACATTGCTTCCAACTCTAGAGAAAATTGAGGTGAGGTAAGGATCAATTATTCAGGACACGTGGACCCCAAAAGCAGCCATAGTCATCTGTTGTATAAAAAAAATGACAAAGTATCTAACAATTTCTTTTTGTGGGATAAAAGAAATGGCATAAAAATGCATTAGTCTTTCAGATGATACGAGGTTATTTTTTTTTCTTTGGTTGTCCTTTATTTCTTGGAAGAGAACTGTAATGCAATAGATCAGCTTTACTAACAGCCTGTTCCTGTAAGAACACTTGCCCAGCAAACCAGCAATATGTGCCATACAGAAACTGAAGTACAGTGTAATAGTCTGCAAAGTTCTTGTTTGGTTGTGCTGGCCCTCTCATTATAGAGGGTGGGGGTTACAGGCAAATTCTGGAATACCTTACGTGGCTAAGGGATGTCAGCTGCAGACATGACATTTCTCTGATTCAGGTTTTTTTTTTAGGTCATCTCCCTAAAGTGGGAAAAGTGCCACTGTGGCATTCCATAGGAGTTATGATTTACCTTCTCTGACTGCTTTTCTCTTTCCTCACCTACGAGCATCACCTCAGCTCCACAGGAAAAAGTAACAAGACTGTCTCATGTTTTAAAGTCAAAGTCACAGTATACAGCTGCGAGGGCTAGGCTGACATTTGCTATCTCAGATTCCTCCTCCCCTGGCCCAAGAATCGGTAGAAAATTTAAGAGATGCCTGAATCTGAGCATTAGAACAGTTGACTATACAGGAGTCCTTTGCTTAGTGACTCTCTCATTTAGTTCACAGTCACGGCAGTGGTGGAAAAAGTAACTTTGTGTCCTATCCTCCCATTTACAACCTACCCAGATCTGTAACACAAAGGAAAGCCGAAATCAGATAAGCACTGTTGTGATTTCATTTAGCAACCATTTCACTTCACTACTGAGTTGCCAGTCCCAAATGTGGTTGCTAAACTAGGTGTATCTGTACACATCTGAGAAAATATTGGACTTTAAAGGGACATCACAAATTCCTGTACTGTGGGGAGCGGGGGAGTGCCACTGAACCAAGGAGACTTATTTCTGATCAACCCTATAGTGGATTTTACTGTAGAAGCTAAAATTAAGGCATCTATTCTTAAACATGATGTAAAGTATTAATTTCAGAAAAACCACAAATCAGTAGATTTAAAAAAACCCATTTCTACTACTGGCTAAATGCTGGGGTTAGCTAACATTAAAAAAGACTTTTACTTTTAAAAAATCCTGAAAGTTTGAATTTTTTCTTTGTGAATGCTGTATATACTTCAGTTAGAGTTAGTTCACCTAACCAAAAGTTAGCAATCTCATGGTCTGCATATATTTTGGACTACAACTCCCACATAAACCTGCTTAAGTATAGAAGATTATTGGAGTTGCTGACCAGAATATCTGGACAACATAGATTTTGATTCCTCATTTAATTAAGAGATACCCATATACAGTAAGTTGATCAAAATGAATCAACTAAATTATATTTATGTGTTATATAACATTTTAGCTATAACAGAATTCTTTCCTTTTTGCTTACTTCTTATATACTACAAAATTAAAAAGATATATATATATATATATATTCACTTATAGTTATATATGACTTCTGACAAGAATAACACTAATTGTGGCACTTACGCCATCATGATGACACTGAAGTCTAGCCAGTTCCATGCGTCACGAAGAAAAGTGAAACTATCTATGCAAAAGCCTCTTGCAATAATTTTCACAAGGGATTCAAATGTGTATATACCAGTGAATGTGTACCTGTTGAAAGTAAAGAATAATGATGAATAGTATTTATAATGAAGGAAGGTGAAATATATTTTACATCTTAAAAGGCAAGATTCTGAATACTTATTGACTGTATTGCCATATATCGCAGTGCTCTATCCCTTCCTGTTTGAAGACATCTATCATAGTGCCAGTCCCTAAGCAGACAGTAGTGGTATCTCTTAATGATTATAGACCAGTAGCTTTAACATCTGTTGTCATGAAATGTTTTGAGAGGCTGGTGTTGAACTATATTAAGGCTGTTAGTTAATACCATACCAATTTGCATGTAGGGGTAATAGATCAACTGATGATGCTATGTCTCTTGTTGTCCATATTGTATTGAATCACTTGGAACAACAGGGGACATATGCAAGGCTGTTATTTGTGGATTATAGCTCTGCCTTTAACACCATTCTACCCAATAGGTTGTTTTCTAAAATGTCCAATTTGGGTATAAATCAGAGGATTTGCTTGTGGATAAAGGATTTTCTGACAGGTAGGCCACAGTCAGTAAGGATGGGATCTCACCATTCCTCTACTCTGATCTTAAGCACAGGAGCCCCCCAGGGTTGTGTGCTAAGCCCCTTCCTTTATTCCTTGTATACGCATGACTGCACCCCACTGTATAACACCAACACAATTATTAAATTTGCAGACGATACAACAGTGGTGGGGCTCATTAATGAGAACAATGAGTCTGCTTACAGGAAGGAGGTACAAGGGCTGACATTGTGGTGTAATGAAAATAATCTTACACTTAACACCACAAAAACTAAAGAACTTATAATTGACTTTAGGAGGAAGAGAGATGTACATCTATCATTGTACATAAATGGTGAGGAGGTGGAGAGGGTGGGTAGTTTTAAATTTCTGGGCACTTATATTTCGGAGGACCTCTCATGGACTATGAATGCTAACATGCTTGTGAAGAAGGCACAGAAGAGGCTGTACTTCCTGAGAATGCTCAGGAAGATAAATTTATCTCAGCATCTACTCCTGTCCTACTATCACAGCACCATTGAGAGTGTCCTGACATACGGCATTCTTGCATGGTATGGGAGCAGCTCTGTAGTGGACAAAAAAGCTCTACAGAGGATTATTAAAACTGCCCAGAATATTATTGGACTCCAACTACCAGCCCTGGATAACATCTTCGAATCTCGTTGTTTGAGGAAGTTGCATAACATTCTCAGAGACTCTTCCCATCCTGCTTACAATCTTTTTGGACTGTTACCTTCTGGCAGAAGATGCAGAATAATTAAAACTCGGACCACACGTTTTCTGAATAGTTTTTATCCCAGAGCTGTAATTGCACTCAACAACAAACTAAAGGCCACCATCAGTGAACTGTTGGACAGCATTACTTGGTCTGTTGTGTGGATGTTGGGTGGTTTTAGGGGTGGGGATTGTGGTGGTGGGGAGTGTGTTTGGGGATTATGTGTGTGGGACTTGGTTTTTGGGTGTCAAGTAAATTTCGTTGTAT